CATGCATATGGCCATGGTCTGGACTACCACCTAAAGCCATGTTGATGTCCATATGTCATGCTGAGTAGGATCAAGCCATGCAGCATGAGACCTGGCCCTGCCCTTCACAGGAAAGCTGGCCCCAGTGGTGGGGGCACAGGAGTGCTGCCTTCCCTGGGGGGGTTCCTGTTGAGGTCTGGGCTAACCAACTCAGCTACCATCCAGGCCCACATCCAGTGCTTTGAGTTGGCCCACTTCAACATCTATGAGGTGCTGGAGTTCGTGAAGGTTCTGGTCCTATGGAACCAGGGTCTCCATAACTTGGGGCAACAGCAGGATATCCAATAAGAGTCTCAGTGAGCGTTCACTATTGAAAATCTAGCAGAAGCCAGAGACCTTGAACCAGACCGGCAATTCATTGCAATGAACATTTCCAAGTAAAACTGCTTGGGCAAAAGGGTATACCACGTGACACACTGCAGCTCTCACAGTCACTTAGATGAAGAAATATGTGGTGGAGAGGTGGACAAGATGGAAGTGGTTTTTATTAAATCATTAATGTTTTCTTTCTTTTGGGGGGCATACAAGAGTGGAGGGTAGGCATGGAAGGACTGGAAATGAGTGGGACTGGGGTGTATGTTGTGAAATTCCCAAAGAATCAATTTTGAAAATGTTTTTTTTTTAAAAAAGAAGAAAGAAAAGTGACTCATTCTCACCAGAAGCCATAAACTGCCAACAGCTCCTCACCCAGGGTTGGGGCCTTGGGAGCTCCCCCTCCTTCTTTGCTGAAATTGTTAACTGGCTTGATTTTAGATAGGTTTGTGAAGGTAAACACAGCTGCTGTGGGTCATGTGTGCAATAGTCATGCCAAGCCCAGAGGCCAGCCTCTCATGCAGAGTAGGCCTTCCCATCCTCTGTCCCTTCCACTCTTACATTCATGCTCCTTGAGGTACATGGCTTGAGTTCCTGGGTGGGTGATGGAAACATTTACCTTGCTTTAGAACAACCAGGGTCAAAGCAGCCAGGACTGCATACAGCTTGCTTCCATGCAAATATTTGAAATTATCTCAAAGTCATTTATAGTTTGTAAATATTGCCTCTGCCTCTTCAGACTCCTTCTGTTTAGCAGACATTTAATGACTGCCCATAAGATAAGAAGCATTGTGAGTATCTCTCTCATTGTTCTCCCACTCCATCCCTATTCCAGCTTGACCATCCTATTCCCTTATGTTCCTGTAGGAGGAAATGGGGGTGGGGGAGGAGAAGGCTGGAAGGGCAGGAGGAGGGAAGAGGGGGATCTGTGATTGGTATATAAAATGAATAAAAAATTTCTTAATATAAAGAAAAGCAGCACTGTGCTAGATGGGTGGTGTTTCTAATGAAAAGGAAGATAAATCTCCTGGCTTTGTGAAGCTCTAAACTTACAGAACAAAAAGACAGTACTCAAATACCAAATCAAATCAAATAAAATTATGTTTTTTGTTCTTTTTTAAGGGAAATCTGTTCCCTCTAGCTTCAACTCTCACAAAGCTATGAAGGGAACTTAACTAAACCTCTCTCCCTCTAAAGAACTCAAGATTCAAAGGCTAAGGTAGAATTCTACTCTCAGAGGCTGAATAGCAAGTAGCTCACCTCCTCTCCTTGCTTACATCCTCCCCAAAGCCCCATGCTTCTCCTCACCCCTCCTTAAAAACCCTTCTCCACCTGGCTCCTCCCTACCACTTCCTGTCAGCTAGTTGCTGACGCAGCCTCCTGACTGCAGGTGCATTTTATTTAATCAAACACATTTTTGCATCATTAAACAAATGTTTCAGAGCATAAACAAAAGTAATACACCTTTAAATAATATTCTACAACAAAATTAAATAATTAAAACTATAAAATGATTAACACTAAATAACAGAGGTATACATGCCCTAAAATAAGATTTGATCTAGTTTTGAAAGTCTTAGAAGTCTTCTCTGAAGAAATTATATTCAGCTTAAACAGATTATTGAATCTGTGGTGGGAAAAGGAGCAATTTCAAGGTCTTTAGACTGGAAGGAATTTGGTGAACATCAGGGACTGATCAAGGACAGGTTTAGCCTGGGATCCTAACCACAGAACATGCAGCTACCACTCCATGAAATACTCATTTCCTATGGAGTGTAAGCCTATGCAGGCAATGTTATGAGGAAAGAGAGACAGGAAAGATACAGACCCAAAACAAGGTCACGACTGGGTTGGCCACCATTAAGGAATATAATTTCCCTCAGGACTATGGCATGTAAGGGAACGGAAAAGAAGGCAGGGTAGGAGATAATGTTGAAGGACTTCATCTACAGTGCCCCTTTCTGCAGCAGGTAAATGGATACCCTATTAGGTATTAACTTCTTAATGCTTCTGGGCTGAGCATCATGGTCCTCGGGCAACCTCACTGCATCTTATGCCATCACACTGAGGAAAGGTTCCTGTCAAGATAAGGCCTAAGTACTGTGCACCTCAGTCATTGCGCAGTTTTTGCACAGGCCTTTGTAGAGACTGACACATTGATGGAGGCCCAGAGATTCAAAAGCAGAAAGAAGTGGTAGTGATCGAAATAATTCTTAAAACTACCATGAGGAGACAAAAGATGGAAAGGAGAGAACCTAAGAATTACGTACAGACTTGGGAAGTTAATGGACAATTTCTGCTTTTTAAATAACAGAATAGCTACCTATTCAATAGTTTTCCCATGTTCATAGTAAAGAAACATTGTGAGCATATTTGCACCTCTATAATCACTTTCTGAGCTGGAGAGATGCTTCAGTGGCTAAGAGCACTTTCTGTTCTTCTGGAAGACTTAAGTTTAGTCCCCAGCACCCATAACAGTGGCTCATAAATGACTTTAACTACAGTTCCAAAGGACCAGACACCCTCAAATGACCTCTGTGGGCACCTGCATACATGTACCATACACTCACACAGACACACATATAAATAAAAAATAAAACTGTCTTTAAACAAAGATCTGCTTCTGTGGATGGTGGAGAGCCGATTATAAGGGGAACTGGAGCAGACAATAAATACATAAATTAGCAAAGAGCAGTCAAGCTCAGGTGCCCAAAGCGTAGAGAAGGGGCAAGATCCAGGAGACTCATGGAGAAAACAGCAACAAAGCCTGGCAATGCATGTGTTGAAGAACAGCTTTCTGTGCACAATGACGTCAGTGTTTTCAGCTTGAGTGAATGAACACCATTTTCAGGTTTGGAAGAAGGAAGTGAAGCCTTCATTTTTTTGTGCGATATTTGTTTTATATGGAAAAAGTCACATGTAAAAATGTCATATTTCAAAAGAGCACTTAACTAAAAGTAAGTTGAAATCATCTGTCTGCAGATAATAGAATGAAAAAAATCTTTACTTGAATGTACAAAATAAACCTTGACTCCCATATGCTCAGATACCATATTCTTTCAGCAGTTAACAATGTACAAAATACATCAATTTCATTATTTTGTATTAGCATTTCCAAAATATTTTCATATTTTTGATGAAATTATTTTCTACAGAATCAGTAATTTAGGAATCTCCCTCTCTTTCCTCTCTCTCTCTCTCTCTCTCTCTCTCTCTCTCTCTCTCTCTCTCTCTCTGTGTGTGTGTGTGTGTGTGTGTGTGTGTGTGTGTGTGTGTATACAATAGTTTACTATGGCAAACTTTAAATTTTACATTCCGTTACACACAGGTCAGCCAATAAACATTATACTCCTCCCCCAAATAGAAGCTATATATTTATGTTCAATACAGTACATTATTTAGCATTCAAATGCTTCTTTCAGGAAACATATTTAAGCTTTCTCAGCTTATGTATGTCTTGTAAGGAGGACATGATTGTAGTACCAAATGCTCAGCAACACAGCACACTGTGTCCTCAGGAAATAGTACTTATCTCACCTAAATCCGACTTTGCCATAAGGGCTCTCCATAAGTGTGATATCATGAATCCGACAATGTATGGTTTAAAAATCTGGATGGTATTTCACAGCAAAGCAAAGGAAACTAGCAGAGGGAGGAAGAGGCCCCATTGTAGACTTTTTTTCTAATAGGACAACACAAATACTAACTTAAAATATTCAAGACAACACCTATGGATCCCAGTCCTGGGAAGAGCTTCAAGTCTTTTTTCGTTTCCTAAGAAGCATCAGTGGAACCTGGTGTTCTCAATTCCTTTGCTGATTTTTCTGAATGCCCACTACTTTTTAGGTTATCTACATTCACTTATTTGACACAGTAAAATATTATTTTCCCCCTCTCTTTCAAGTCTTCACAAAATATTTTAAAACCAAGTCAGTTGTCACCATGTTTAGCAGATCCACATTAAGTTCCAGGCACCTTCCTTAAGCATTTCTAAGAGAATATAAAGGAGTAAGGAAATTAAAAAAAACAAAAAACAAAAAAACAAAACAAAACAACAACAACAAAAAAAACAGACCATTGTAACAACTACAGGCTTTGGACTCAAATGGCCCTATGTTTAATTTCTTGGCCTGAATGACTCTGTAACATTATCTGACCAGCTTCTTTGTTCTCTAGTATACAAACCAAAAAAAAAAAATGAGATTTTCAGGTAAAATGTGATAAGGTATCTAAGGTACTTAGCAAAATATTTTAAATATCAAAATATGCAGTAAATTGGGCATCCCATATTTAAAAGAACATGTCATAATTAACTTTTATCCATTTTGAATATATAGGATATTATATGTTGTTAAAAGGACACAGTGCTACCTTTTTTTCCTGAAAAATAAGATAGCTGAAAATATATACATGTTAAATTTGCATTCATTGTAACTGTGAACTTGATTGGTATATTTTCTAGGCCTTGATGACATCAAGAAGTCTGTCTGTAAACACAGTAATACAAATAAAATATTTTACTTATATTACTTCAAATTTAACAAATTTTTGCTTCATTTATAGTTTCAGAATCAGCAGGAACCAAAATTAAGCTCACAATGTAAATTTTGCCTTTAATTGGATAGAAAGGGACCCAGACGTCTTTAGAGTACATGAAGTCAAACTTTTATTTGAAAGCTGAATTCCATGTGTAATGAAAATAGTTTTGAACCATACATATCCATAAGCATAATACAAACACCATCTACAACACAAACACATTTGAATAAAGGTCTAATGTGAACATTAATCTAAGTAAGAACAGAAAAGCTAACTGGGTGAGCCTGCTCTCTGTACCTTTTGTCTCTTGATGATGCAGTCAGTTGAAGACACAAAACAAAAGTAGCATTGGCTCAGCCCTACTTATCTCACTATAGGAATACTAGGATACATCTACTACCACAGACCACAAACCAGTCCTATCACAACCAATTTAAAGTTGTTACAAGAATTACGCCTTCATGGCATGTAAACATATTTAGGGTTTCAATTGGCAAATATGTTTTAAACACTTAGAAAAGCAGCCGACACCTCTCCTTATTGTCCTCTATCTCTTCCATGAGTATAAAATAGCGTTAAGTCCATTGTGCTCTACAGTTTTTTATAAACATGGGTACATCTAAAATATCAGATGCCTTTATACCAAGAGAATAAATCTACTGATTTCACATCTTATAAATATGCATGCAGAATTAGTGGAAAATGCTTTTGTGTAGCAAAGACCCTGCTTAATTTTCTTCCGATTAATAATTTTCAATGGCATGTGCAAATCGTCCTCCTCACTTAACAGTAGATTTAGTTTATTTTCTGTAGATCCGTTTTCTATAAAAATATATTTATGTGCTTAGAGGGGGAAAAAGTTGAGTTGGTGTATGTGGGGGTGACTTTTTGATACATAATTTGATTCCATGTTGGGTTATGAAGTTAAAAGGCATCTTAGATTGTATCACTTGTAAAGTTTCTTCGTACAAAAGAACACCCTGTGATAACGAACATTAGCACTTTGTAGCACAGTTTGAAGTGAAGCAGTTCAGCAACGTGCCTAAGGTTTCTGTGTAAAATCAGCGCTGGAACCTGGAAGAGAACACGGATTTTCCTGACCCTCAAACAGCTCTCTCTGAAACTATGCCCATCGACAATCCTTGAGATTATATACAATCACTTACATTAAAATCATATTGCCAGTAGACTACAGAAAGTTACTGCAAAACCAATTAAGAGCAAAGTTGTACATATTAGCAGCTGCCTTGCGACTCAGAGGGCATTTTCCAAATAATTATTGCCCTTCTGCAATTATCATTGCACATCACAGAGTCTCCCACTCATTGTCTAAGAGAAAAAGAATTAAATCCACTTTAACCTACTGGATTTGTTTTCCTTTGAACACATTGAATATTGTAGTTCTACAATTAAAATCAAAGGAATCCATAGACCTTTTCCTGCTCTACTGAAGATTTACAATGAAATGAAGCCAAATAGTATTTAGAAGTTCACAGAGGCTAGCAAAAGGAGTTATAACAGAATCTCATTTTTCAACAGCTAACAAAAGAATGATTAAGTCCATTTGGAACAAAAATGTAAGTATTTGTGTCAACTTCTGACTTAAAGATTATTAAATTCTTAATGAATCAATTCTAAACTTTTGGATATTATTTTTAACCCATGTGACCCTTTCCAAACTACATTTTGCCTGATGACAAGGAGGAAGAGGCAGAATAATAGCACAATTAACTGTCAGTCACATCCTTTATTTTCTATGAAGCTCAGTACCACAGTTCCTCCCATAAAAATAGCACATGTTGATGGCTCCCCCAGCAATCTGTGCATTAGTTATCAGATGTGGTGGGGGTGGGGGGGTCAGTTTGGACAGCTGGATGTGTGGATCCTTACACTCATAGAGGCTAGAGCACAAAAATGTCTGCCCCATTTCTTTTGCTATTTCCAGGAGAGTAGCCAAACATTGAGATCCATGGTTTTGAAAAAATCAAGCTTTTCCTGCCTATGCATTCTGGAAGAAACATGAGGTTAAAAAGTATGTTCATGTACATTACTGCATTCATCATTTTTACATATCAAAGATTTTAACCCCCAAGAAACATAGTGAATCATATCAATTAAACATGAAGACTGAACAGTATATGCCAGTAATTGCACAAAGTAAAGTTAAATCTGTGAGCCGATATCACTAACATAGCTAATAATTTCATGGTGAGGTTAAAAGTTTCCATTAAATGAGAGAGGAAATAACCAATTATTTACTTATATGTATGCAGAGTCCTTCAAGGCATTTCTAAAACATTCTAAAACTTCAGTACCATTTTAGACGGACTGGTAGCCCACATGCCAGAAACTAAGTTCCCTGACTCTGTACTAACTTTGACAGAACAAAAACAAAAAAAAAATGATGATATCACCACAAATACATTTACAATATTATATAAACTAACAGGTATATAAGAATTTCTACTGTAAATAATTTTCTTTGTGGGGGACTGGGGCAGGAATCCACTCCAAAACTTATTTTGAAAAATATGAATGCATTTCCCTTCATGGTTATATGATATTTCACTTTAAGAACACGTGAAGGAGAGAAATATAAGAACAGAATCCAATTCTTCATGTAATCTAGAATCCAGAACCCCATGTTATTTTGACTAGCCCCAGGAGGGTAAAAACTGCATCCTACTATATATACACTCTAGCTGTACACTCATGCTTATTAATGTTCTCTTTCCCACTTCAAAATAAAACACTATGTTTTAAACTGTGTAAATATTAATATAATATGTACAATGCATCCATGAAATATATCCAAGGGTACCAGTATATAAACATAAAGGCTAAAAGCTGTGAACATACAAATGGAGATACAAAATACAATCATCAACATCTTCTTTCTGTTTTTCAAATAACCAACCCCTGACCACCACTCTTTTTGCAATTCCAGTTAGTCCACCTTGAAAAATGAGAGAAAGAAGGAGGGAAAGAAGGAAGGAAAAAGAAAGAAAGAAAGAAAGAAAGGAAGGAAGGAAGGAAGGAAGGAAGGAGGGAAGGAAGGAAGGAAGGAAGGAAGATGCAGAGTTACCATACTGACAGAAATTAAAGACAATCATCCAAAAACTGAAAACATTGTAACTCTGCATAAAGATGGCAGCCTCTGGGCAAATAGGAGCTCAATAAATACGTGTTGCAAGATCATCTACAACTTTTACTACTAAAATTTTAAATAATAACTTTAGACTGTATAGATTCCATGAAGTGTTTAATAAGACATTCATATTCCTTTTTACATTTTAAATAACCAGCTTGCTTGCTTGCTTACAATCTTTTAACCTGTAGTGAATCAAAGTCACTAAAATAGTTCTTACAAACTAAGTACAATTGTGCATCCAGAGAGAAACCCACACAGTTAGCAACGTTAATGCACACACATTCAACAGGAGAACCAGGCAGATGTGGAGTACGTGAAACAGGAACTTTGGATTCAGTCAAAGTGGATCTAAGTACAGGATTTGTTTTGTGTTCTGCATTTTGAGCACCAGAAAACAAAACCAAAAATGAAACACAGGCTTGAAGTGTTTGACATCTGATTTTGATTTTTTTTTTTCTTTTTGAAGGCAGTGCTATTTTTCTCAGCAAAATTGCAGAATGCCAGAATGTCAACCTCTGGACACGTGTTTCTACTCCTTTGTAACAGGCTTTGCTCCCCAGAAGAGACAGGGGAGGTCTAGGCTAGCCAGCCATGGTGCATGAATGTGCTGTGCTTATGCTCGGAGTGGGAACGTGGCCGTCGAACTTCCATTGCTTTCAACAGATCCCTTCTCCTTAGCTCCGGTGTAGGCGCCAATAAAAGATCCGTCTTCGTTGAATATGGAGTGGTCTCCCTCTCCATATTCCACTAAGCTGTCAGCACTCTCTGTGGGCTGCATGTTCCTATTCAAGGACCGAAGGCTTCCTTTAAGAGGCTTTTCATCACTGTCACTAGAAAACAAAACAGAGCCATTCCCCAGGAGTTCAGAATCACAGGCACATTCAGCAAGACTCTTTCACAAGTGCTAACAGGTTCTATAATTTTTAACTTGTTCATATGAACACAAACAACAGCTGAAATGACACCCCCCCAAATAAGTATTTTAAAAGCCATAACTAATTTTCTTCATTCTGAGTGACTGAGAAACACTTTTCTATTTGTTTGCCCTTCTGCTTCCCTTTTAAATGAGGAGCTTCTTTGAGACATGAAGATGCAACATGTTGATTTATGTTGAGGTTATGGAGTGGGTACATGTGTGCCCGTTAAACTCACATGCTGAACTGCTTCACCCCAGTAGGATGGCAATGGTGTGTGGGGTCATTGGAGGTCACTAGTCACAGAACAGCCTTCATGAAAGGGATTTGCCCTAGTGAAAGGGCCTTCAGAAAGCCACCTTGCAGTTTCCAGGGGGAGAATAAGAGAAAAGGGCATGCATAAGTGAGATGGTTACCTCTCAGCACACACTCATTCTGTCCTGACCTGGATCTTACTGTCCAGTCCCAGGATTGTGAGAACTGTTTTGCTGTTTTTTTTTATAAGTCGCTTAGTTCTGCTATTTGCAATTGCTACTCTTTGGTCTAAGACAGAAGACAAATGTTACTTTCCTTGCGTTATGCAGTCCTGTTGCTTCTGGGTCCATGTTTTGATCTTTTATCTTTTATTTTGATCATATAAACTCCTGTAACCTTCCACATTTTCTCTTTGGTTTGGTGTAACTGATCAGATTTAGTTTTTTTATGAAATTTTTCTTAGATTAATATTGTTAAAACACCCTAATTAAATTCAGCAGGTCATCTCCCCCCCCCCCCCCCCGCCCTCTCTCTCTCCCCCTTCTCTCCCCCCTCTCTGTCACACACACACACACACACACACACACGAGGGGACAGGAGAGCGAGCGAGCACATCACAGTAGGAGAAGCATTTGTTAGGAAGACTAAGGGCTTGCGCTCAAAGGTGAAAAGGTAAAGATAACATAATGGACAGGTATGAAGAAAGTGCCGTGTATACAATGGAATTGTGAAATAACAATTTCTAAAAGAAAATATAATTATATATATATATATATAATACTATTAATACACTTACTATCTGATGTGCATTTTATTCATTACAAGAAGCAAAGCTGAAGTCACAAAATAGCTACAAAATTATACCATTTTTTCTACATATCTGGTTTGAAAAGTGTCAAGTACCAGCTCCTAAGTGAATAGATGACAAGAACCATCTGTGCTTGACACACTGTTGGGGAGGGATATCCCTATTTGACATTAGCGTAACTCAAGATATCTGTGTGGTTTGGTAACGCGCTTCAGAATTAGGACCGTGAGGTTCTAAAAGCAAAATAAAAAGAGGTGGCACTGGCTTTGGGGGCAGATAATGAGTAGCAAAGACATATATCTAAGGGCAAAGCATGTAAGAAAGTTCCTGGAACCCAGAAAAGACAGAAGTTTGCAGATGAATGTGAAGTTTCTGAATAAAATGTCAGAAAACATATTGACTATTTGAAAGGCTGTAATTGTAAACAATGTAGGGAAAAGAAATTATCTGTCCTTTCAAAGAAAGAAGAGTAGAGTATAGACAAATAAGTTTTTGGACAAGGAATAGATTCAGGAGTTTGTTTTGTTTTGTTTCCCTTATAAAAATGTTTGTGGACAGTTGTTCTAAGACCTCAGTGATGCTGCCAAATGAAATTTGAGCAATTGTGTAATATCTTTCTTTCAAATGTGTGCTGAACCTACTGACTCACCGAGCATAGTAGGTAGAATATACTACAGCAGTGAGATGTAAGTTCTAAGATTGGGGTATCAACATACCATGGATTGTAACTTGGGTGTTCGCTTTGGTGTTTCTGCTCTGCCTGAAGCTAGGTATTATTAAATGTCCCAGAGATAGTAGTACGTGGTATGGAACTAAGGATGACTCTGGCTTGCCAAAATCTGATGTTCTTAACCCATAGATCTGAATGAAACCAAGCTCTGTCAACACACACATAAGGAAGCAGATCCACTATCAGCCAAACCTCCAGGTGAGACTACAGTTCTTGTCAAAAGCTTGTCTCATGAAGCCCATAGGCCAGAAACTCATGCCTGGCTTCATTTCACATGGGGAATTGAGATAATATCCAGTTATTATTCTAAGTTTCACATTTCAGAGATAACTAGGAAGCAAAGTCCAATCGGCACTGACCATAACTTACAACTCTCCCAAGCTAACATCCTTTTTCTTTTTATTCTCCTGTTTTCTTTCCTTCCTCCCCTTCCACTTTCTCTCTTTCTTTCCTTCCCTACCTTACAGCCACCCATGTCTTTCTCTCCCATTATTTGCTTGTCAAGAAATATAAAAGTATAAAAAGAAAGCATCTAATCATCAGAAAGAGAAGCTATGGGCATAGAGCCAAGCAGAGGCATGATGGTGCTCAGATCTGTATGAGTTACTCCAGGTCATCTACTCAAAGTTCCTCACATCCCTGGTCATGCAGACAGATTCAGTGATGGGCCAGTGAGGGACAGCTAGATTTCTTATTTGGTAGGGATTCTGGATTATATATATCAACATCAATATAAGTCTGAAATTTATAATAATTTTCCTGACTACAATAGAGAGTAGAGACAATCTGACTAAGAAATGGTAACAATTCAAGAAAGAAAAGTTAAGACATATGATAGGCATAGGATGGGGCAGAGATGTCTAACTGGAGAAGTGAGAGTTGCAGTCCCTCCTCAAGCGCTGCTTCTGTACTAGACTTCTTGCTGTGTGGCTTCTGCGTGATTACATTCATACATTGAGGCATGCTCTTCAAGCAGTTATCAGTGACTCTATGGCTTTAAGTACTAACTTATCTCTTAGTTCTTTTCCCAGAATTCTTGTCATGCAGAATGCAGAAATAGTTGTTCACTTTTTAGTCTTTCATTCTAATTGGTTGATAATAATATCTGAGCATGGCATTTTGTTTGTTTGTTTGTTTGTTTTTTGCCTAGGTTCATGTATAGAGCTGAGTTTGGAACCTCTTTACTTTATAAATGCACATGGAAGAATTGCAATCTGTGTGTGTGTGAGTGCAAACCTAATGTAATCAGGTCCATAATGTCAACACTAAGAGTGGCTTTAAGACGTTTCAATTACTTAGTTTATGGGGACATGTGTTTTGCACAGAGCTTCAACCAAGGGATCTTGATGCCCCCTGCCATCCAGACTGTGGTCCTCAACACACCTCGACCCCTGATAATAAATCAGTTCTTACAAAAAAAAAAACAGTATAGAGAAAGGAAAAAGGAAAGAAAAAGAAGGAAAAAAGAAGGAAGGAAGGAAGGAAGGAAGGAAGGGAGGGAGGAAGGGAGGAAGGAAGGAAGGAAGGAAGGAAGGAAGGAAGGAAGGAAGGAAGGAAGGAAGAAAGGGAAGAAGGAAGGAGTGGGGACAGAGGTTGGGTAAGGAAATCTTTAGTAAAATTTCCTTTATAAAGTCAATATGATGTAGTTCCATCACTTGAGTTATAAACAAAGCACTTTCTCCACTTGACAAACTTGATGAAAGTGTTTCAAGTGATCACAAAACACCAAGTTCCATTTACCTGTATTCACCAAAAGTTTCATCTTTTGCTGATTGAACTTCTGGATCTGGGTGTAAATCTTCCTTTTCTTTTACTGAAACAGAAAAATTTAAAGTAGTCTAACATCAAAGATATTGTAAATACTTGCCAGCATGACTGCTGAAAGGTGAGTAGTCAAAAGACAGTGCCACAAACTTTTATGCCAGTGATACTAGCTTTGTGAGCAATAGGTATAACTTATCAGTTACTTTTCATTTAATCAGAAAATATAAAGGATTTTCTGGGTTCTATTTTTCTGCTATTAAGCACCTGGCAGACTTTCATGTCATTCCTCCATATAAAATCGTCACTTGCCATACTAAAAGAGTCAAGCTCAGATCATTCTGTCCATGAACACAAGATACTCAGTATTCATTTTTTTTACCTCCAAATTATTTGAAGATGTAATAAGCTCCTAATGACCTATGTCATGAAACCCCTCAAAAATCAATCATTAGGGTGTTTTGCATCAATATTTTAATGAAAACTATCTTGATAATAAAACTAATCAGAGCTACCAAAGCATTATAAATATATAATTATTACTGTGGAGATGATTCAATTTCTTTAAAGTGTCTGTCAAACAAGTATAAGGACCTATGTCTTATCCAAACACTTGATGAAAAAGCCAGACTTGATAGCAGCCAGTTGTAGTTCCATCTCTGTGGAGGTGGAAACAGGAGGATCTCTGAAGCTTGTCGACTAAATTAGTCTAGCTAAATTTGTAAGCTTCAGGTTAGTGAGAAACCCTGTGTTAAAAAAAAAACAAACATACATTGGAGATGATTGGAGAAGATAATGGATGCCAGCCTCTGACCTCCACATGCAAAACTGCTCTGGAAAAGGTTCACATCCCTCCATATTAAAAGTAAATTAGTTTTTTAAAAATATTTATTTATTTATTATGTATAAAGTATTCTGCCTGCATGCATACCTGCATGCAAGAAGAGGGTACTAGATATCATTACAGATGGTTGTGAGCCAACATGTGGTTGCTGGGAATTGAACTCAGGGTTTCTGGAAGAGTAGTCAGTGCTCTTAACCTCTGAGCCATCTCTCAAGCCCCCAAAGTAATTTAGTTTTATTTGAAATACTCGGGCATGATTGGGTTCTTGATTTTCTCACCTTTAAAATCTCAAACACGTTCTCTTTAAGATTCTATTCACCACTGCTTACTCTTATCTGTCCTTCGATATGAAAAGTTGTTTGTTTGTGTTTTAAAGCCTGGACAGAGGGAGGGCTTCAGAACATGTATACGTTCATACTTCATAAATGTTACTTTTTAAAAGATAATCAAAGAGGAATGCTGTCTCTCATTAAAGTTTCTAATGAATGATCTGGGATATCCATTTAGTCATTGTGAACATAATTAATACAAGCTAGATTTTAGAGGAAAATTGAAACCGACAGCTGTGTCAATTACTCATGCTATTTCATGAAAATGTATAAGTCGGGTTCTTTATGGTTTTATGTATATGATATTCTCAGTAAATGTTTGCTGGGTAGTGGAGCCAGTTCTACCAGAGTGTAACAGCACAGATCATCAGAGCCAGGTACAGAGACAGAAGCAGAGTCATGCTATAAATAAATGAGCTCATTTTAAGGGTATTAAAACATATGTGTGACTTAATAATGTACCTTCTCAATATCTGATATAGCTATGAACAGAAAACATAAGTTTACAAGCATTATGATCCTTAAGGACCGATTTTAATGCTTTTATCTTAAAGATTCATTTCATTTGGGGGACTGTGGAGTAGGGGTTGTTATAGAAGCTTTCTATGTCCCTCTTTCACAACTGTGAGTCTGCAGTCATTGACACAACTGCAAAAGAAAATAGTGATAAATATGCTGAGATGTAGCTCTGCACAACTGATTGCGTCTATTGGGGGTATGGGTGTGGAAGGACTGTTTTCCCTAAGAGGCTGGCCACTGGGAGTATGACTATGCTCCAGCGAATATATGGGCCACACAAATTGGACAACTTCTTTTGTGGAGGGAGATCATAAGGGTCGGGAAGCAGACATGAAAGGATTGGAAGGTGAGTATACTCAGAGCTCATGATGTGAAATTACCAAACAATCAATAAAAAATATTATGTTTAAAAAAGATTAATTGTATTTGATTTATGTGTTTGTGTGAGGGGAGGTACCTGAGGAGACCAGACACATCGGACCCACTGAATTCAGAGTTACAGGCTATTGTGGAACTATGGCTGCTGGGAACCAAACTCAAGCCCTCAAGTAAGCACTTTAAACCATCACCCTAAACTGAGCCATCACGCTAGCCCACACAGTCTCTTTAAATTACTCAAATAGACCTTTAAATCTCAGCATTTAGAAGGCAGAGACACAGATGGATCTCTGTGAGTTGGAAGTCATTCTAGTCTACCCTGTGAGTTCCAGGCCAGCCAGTTTTAAGAGTGAATCGTTTTCTCAAATAAATAATTACAAAAACTAGCATTATAGACTATACATATTTCCTTTGGTTGCTTAATTAAAATATTTTTCTTTAATATATTTCATAGCTAATGCACTTTAAAGTTTTATCTATATAATTTTTATAAAATAGTTTACATAGACCGATTCCCGAAATACGCTATTCCAAGTTGAAAATCACGTTAAGCCATGGTTTTACCTGAATACTTTCCACCTTTGTTCCTCTTCACAAAGCAAATAGTTAACAATATCAGTGTGAGCAGAGCGATTGCACACATCAGTCCAATAAACCAGCCTTGAGTGGAGATGTCATCATATAAGCCAGCATATTCTGTTGTACAGAGAGAAGGTACAGCGTTGACCCACTTCTAGAATCAGTCCGAGATATTGTGTAACATTGGGGCACAATCAGATATCATTTTAAAATAATAAGTAAATAATATTTCCTTTGAGCCCACAGGAAAGTATTCTGAAGGCATTTTGTTGGGAGACACTAGGAAGCCATTGCTTCCTTACTAGGGAAGAGGCTCTGTCCAGTGGCATTTAGCTCTGAAGATGAGAATCAGAAGGATAGTGAAGTTAAACACAGAAGCAGTAGCAGGAAAGCCATAGCACAAGCTGCCTGGGTTACAAGCAAACCACGGCACCTCTGTGAGCTCTGGTTTGCTTCCGTTTATTTTCTTAGTTTCTGTTATTGACAGGTGTTAATTAGCATAAAATTCATTCAGGTGACTACTCTGACAAACCCAGTGGGGGAAACATCAGATCATTGTGATATGATTTCATTTTGGTAATTTTCAAATACTATGAATGCCAATAAAAATTGAAATTCTGACCTTTATATCTAGTGTTCTCTGTACTTTTTAATATAATATATATGTAAAATTAATATACAGGACATAGTGAATTGTCTATGACTACGGCCCACACAATCTCATTTCTCACCTCTCCCTCTTGTCTCAATTACATCTTGAAAAATGCTATCGTTATCACCCCAGTTCTTAGTCATTAGGTGAACAATATGTTCCGCTCCCGGCACAAGTACCTCTACAGGGTGAATCTTTTGGGTAAGATTTACTCCTTCTGTTATCTTCCTGATACCTTTACCTAAGAAAGGTACACAGTTAAATCATGTAAATTTTAATCACTGAAAAGCAGGAGAGAAATGTGAAAAAAAAATGTATATCATTTTTTGAGATGAAAAAAAAATCATTTTGGCATTTTTATCTTAAATGGCTCCTGAATCATCAGTGGACCCAGGAATTAACATTTCGAAATTTTTCTCTTAAAATGTTGAAAATGAATAAATGCAATGATGTCAGTTCATGGCCATTTACTGATGAAATGGTACTATAAATCTGCCTTCATGTGAATGGCTTAAAACCAAACACAGACTCATTAAAAAAGAAAAGAAAAACTTCCAATTTTTTTGTTATTTTTGTATTAGCTGAATTTTCACAGCTAGTGAAAAGCTGAATATATAGCCTTTGGCTTATGATTACAAATATAATTATGATTTTAACTATATTTCATTAAATACATAAATACATTGCTGCCTTGATCTCAGTATGTTCTCTTAATATGGCATCACAATATATTCACATATAAAGTATTTTAAATTAGACTCTTCAGTTAGATTAAGTGCAGGTTTATAGGTACATTTAAATGGAATGGTTTTACTGAGATTTGGAACATATATGAAAAAGATGAATAATATTCCAGGAGAAGTTATCAATAATATGTTAATAAGTTAACCATTGAACCTTAGAGTAACAGATGAAAATGAGTCCAGTTTAATTAATATACATTAATTTCTGATCTTGCAATTAAACATGTAAAATACTTTTGGCATTAAATTCATATGTTTTCTAGGAATCAACTTAACATAGAAAATGTAAATTGGTAAATGTAAATAATTTACACATGAAATGAAATAAGATCCCCAGTGAGAGTATAATGGATGATGGATAATGAAACTCTTGGTTATGTGGGCATAAGATACAAAAATACTTGGTTATAACTTTTCATCGCAGAATAGAAGTTGATTATATGACTACTGAACAATAAAAGATTTCATTAAAAATGGTGCCATAGAAGAAATAAAGCCAGTTACACAGAGCAGCAAAGCTTTTCAGCAAAGCTTTTAGACTGGATTATCATAATAGAATGGAATTAATTTTTACTTTAAAAACCAGAAATATTAGTATATCATTTAGTGCAAGCTTTTGAAAAACAGAAATGCAAAGTGATTTATTCAAACCTATAATGACACAAAAGCACATTCTAATTTCATCCTCTTTCCCTCTTTAATTAGAGCGCCACCTTCAAACTGGAGTGATAACCAGAAAACAAAAGTACAAATGTTAAATCCCAAACTTTCAATACCAGAGTCTTAAACTGTGTTCCCTAGTCAAAGGAAGGAGAAGAAATATTTGCAGCAATAGATTCTAATTTTAACTGTTATCAGTTTCAGAGTTCTTAGTGAAGCTGAGATAAATCTCTGTAGAACTGTATAATATTCAAAGATTGTGTCAAAGTTCAGTGGAAAAGCAACGATAATTTACAACATGGCAATGTATGTCTACAGAAGAGAAATCAGTGTCAACAGGGGGAAAGGGCAGTAGCTGGAATACTGAAAATGCAGATCCCTGGAAAAGAACACAGACACCTTAGTACAGCACAGTTTCAATAACCGACATGGGATAGTGAAGCAACCCATGCCTTTGTACACTGAAGCATGCTAGCTCTAACTTCGGTGTGCAACAAAGATGTGACATCAGCTATGAAACCACCCAGCAACACTTCCACTCTCTAAGAGATTTTGGTAAGCACGAATGCAAAAAGCCTAGTTTTCCAATGTATGTAGTATAATGTGGAGCATGGCTAAGGCAATTCTGTGGTTTTTTTTCCCCCATGCTCCTTATTGTCAAGAATGGGGCTAATATTTCTCCTCATTGTTAAGTTGTCACTTCTATCAAAACAGCAACTATCTCTGTGGTTGGATATCTTGTATGAACAATATGGAAATTGAGTATTTAGACAACTAACTACTCTTTGGAATACTGTGAATTGAAAATTTGATGCCAGTTTGTACCCTTGAGAAATATTTTTTAGCGACTAGACCATTGTTATTATCTTGAAGTCTAACATTTTTACTAGATTAATGGGTTTTTCATTTCATTCAGTGTTTTACTTGTCCTTTACTCTTGGGTTTGGGAGTGATGCTATTTGAAAATACTCTTCCTATATAAGCAACTTTAAGTTTAGAGGAGAAAATATAGACCCAAAGTTTTGTAGCTGGGATGGAAACAGTAACAGAGAGAAACCTCTAGTAAAGTTCAGAGTCTAACAATTCCGAGCAGGAGTACAATGAATGGTAGTGATTCACACATTTGAGTGAGTCATAGTTGTGTCATTAATAAGTGATGCCCAATTTGCTTTTCTCCCTCACTACTCTCCTATTCTTGGTATTTCTTCCATTGATTTAACTGTGTTCCTAATCTACAGAGAATTACCTTTGCCATATACCACTTGTAAATAAATGATTTTGTTTCCCTTATTGCCCTCTCCCATCAACTCCTTTCTCTTCCCTCAAATCCTCCTGTGCCTGACCACTCTGAACCCCACACAAGGCCCTCTTTCTTGTTTATGTGAACATCAGTTCTTGAATATGTTTTACTTTATTACTTAATCTAGTTCAGTCTTGATTCACTATAGATATTATATAGAGAGTGGGAAGGAAAAATCCTAAAATTTTCATTGGAGAAATAATTTTTCAAGGTATATTGTTACAATATAGGGGAAAGATAGAAACATAATTTAATTATAACTGGGCTACATGTGAGACCACAGACTGTTAAGTCATTTTCAATTGTTACTTAGCTTGAACCACCAGACCATAAAATCAAATTTGACATACAAATTAATATACTATGGGTCAAGGCATGGGAGTGGTATATATTAGATTCTATAAAATATCTACCAAAGTAAAAGACCATATTTTTAGACAGAAATATTCTCCAAAGAAAAATATCTCTCTTCTAACCTTGTGAGAAACTTTGAGCCCATGTCCACTTATTTTACTTAATTAGAAGTATGTTTCTGACCTTGTATACACTAAGCTATGGTTTAGTTGTTCAGAAACCCATAAATTGAACCAATGTGAACTTTTCAGACAGGATCAGTAAATTCTGTATCTGTGTCAGTGGTACACAGCGGGTCAGTTGGATGTGGGTCAGTCGTTTCTAATTTTCAGAGACTGGGCGCCTGCCCTATAGTGCAGTGTGTGAAGCCACAGCATGCAGAAGCATCGGTTACTTACTCCCTTCTCCCAGAGTGACACTTTCCTCACTTATTGGCTTTCCACAGCCTTTCGAGGTGCATGCCTTCAAGTAGAACTTGTATTTGGTCGTTGCATTGAGGTTTGAGAGATGCCAGCTAGATTTAGATGGAGTAGTAACGTTGACTTCATTTAATTCTCCAATCTCATAGGTGTCGTTTACTGAAGAAACAAGAATGATCATTAGTACTGCCAAGTTCTTCACAATTGAAGTTACAGTGTATTGTATTTTTCTCTATTAATTGAAAAAGTCGCCTTCATTATTCATCACTATCAACTCTTTCCAGGTACACAGAATTATTATCCCTATGTCAACTAAAAGAAGACTGGGTTGTGAAAATAGTAAAATCCTTCCCGGAAAGCGACTCAGTGTCTGGTAAGCTAGGACATTCCAAACCACAGCCATTTGACTCTGAGTCACCATGTAATGATGGTGGGGCCGATCACCTTCCCAGTTTGTTATACGTGCTGGACACTTCTCCATTACAGAATGGATCCTTAACATAAATACTTCCCATGTTTTGTTATTGTTTGAGCTAATAAATAATAAAGTACAATGATTATTTTATGTCTTCTAGGGCTTCTCATTTACACTGTAGCTTCAAGTCGGCAGACATGTTTCTAGACTGGGGACAAAATTGTCTCTCATCCTTAGTGTGTTGAAGGTGTCACACATAAAGCATATGTTTAGTATTCCCAGTCTCCTGAATGTAACTTAGCAATGCAATATGCTATGGAGTTTGGGTTGCTGACTCCCATTATTGTTTGACTGACTAGTGGCTGGAATGAGCTGTCACTGCCAAGCCACATCAGAGAGTGTGATGCTGCATATGGGTAGCCAGGAGAAGAGCAAATTAAAAAATTGTGAGGTCCCAACACCAATATAGGTCCTTACTATTTCTCTTAGATGCCCACCAGGAATTGCTGGTAAGACCCCATTGCTGAAGACAAACTTTGGTCAAGAGATATAGAAAAAAAAATCAAGCTGGAAGTGACCTGGAAGTTTTCGTCCTGATAGTTAGCTTTCTTAGTTCCAGAAAGTACTATACCAGATGTTTGGGGAGAAAATTCATCAGCACTTTTTACCAAGGTGTGAACCCTGAAAACTATGCTTCTGATCTATCTGGTGAGACACACCCATTGGTGTAATAATGATAACAATATAATACAGTAATCAACCATTTTTTGAGGCACACGTCACAGCCTTGTATTATAAAGCTGGCCAAGAATCCACTGTTAGGGAGGTCATAGGACCAAGGGAAGAATGTACTACTATTATTTTGCTAAGTGAACATGATATCAAGCTATCTTCTAAACATTTTATCTTTAAATCCCATAGATTAATGCAGTTCTCAGCCCTCATCAGAGATGCTTCTTTTTGCCATGGAAATCTGTTAAAAGAGAACTAACAACTGGTCAAAATGCAGAGGAAAAAGTGACTGTATGGTGATCAGCTTTAAATAGGATATCTAAATCATACCATTTCCCCCAAAGGGTCAGTAAATTTTACAGAAGAACCCTCACCCTAAGCCTGGAGAACCCTCCCTCTAACTCTGTAAGGTTGGGGAAGGCTGCTCTGAAATAGTGTCTTTCCGAAAGAAGAACTCACTGGAACTATGGTTACCAGCTCAAGGGTGTGCCCCTCAATATCTCAGCATGGAAGGGGGAAGGGTTCATGAGGTCCCACTTTGCCCTGAGGGAATTTTGACAATCAGTGGTGACTGGGGGAAGGGTGTCACTTAATTCAATGGCAAAATCACAGATAAGTTGCCCTTTCTCCATAAATAACCCCTTGCCCATGCTCATGCAAGCAACCCTAATTAAATACAGTGGATCATACACATAAAAAGACATGGGAGCCAGAAGGAGATATGTTGGGAAGAGGGGATTCAGTGGGAGAGGGAAGGGGATAACAGGATAGTGAGGAGTAAGAGGGATGAAATTTCATTATAAACATGTCTGAACTGGTAAAAGAATAAAAACACATTAAAAAATAAAGTGTGGGATTTATTGAATATGCATTATATTTGTACCCTCATAAATCCCAAACTTGCAGTTAACCCACTGAAATTCAGGAGCTCTCTGAGCTCAGCATATAGAGAATCAATGAACTTCTGAACTGGTGAATGAATTAAGTGCTTTTAAATATCTCCTGTGCTCTGAACACTATGTTAAATGCAAAAAAAAAAAAAAAAGGCTAAATTATGTGGGGATATGTTTAAGGTCTGAAGATTGCCATGGCAAGGAAAAGACTGCAAAAAATCCTCTCTGCACTCATAAAAAGTGAATTTATTATTTACATAAAATACCTTCCTTGTTCTACATAATGCGATTACATCAAGAAACTAAGTAGTAGTCTAAACATTGTAAAGATGGAAATATATTGGTCTCTTTATCACCATTAAACACTACAGATTCAATTAAAATAATTACTAGAATCAATACAAGAACTAGAGAAAGTATATACCACTCTGGTATATACAAATAGCAATTAATTAAACCAGAGAAGAAAAAGGGAAAAAAAAACACTATTAAAATGTACCCAGCATTTAATATTAATAGGGAAATAAATAATTCAATATTAGTGAATTTTAAGAAGTACAATGACTATTGTAATTATTAATATCTCAACTACTCTGTTATGAGAAGTGGTTTTTAAACCAAATATAAATCTTACAGATAAAAAATGCTTGAATTTAAACAAATTCACTAAACAAAATGAAAATTTAAAACTCTTAAAATATTTTGGTCCTGTCCACAGTTTTAAAAATTGGTCCTTTGAAGAGCGTGGCTTAAAAACTCAAAAATCTAGACATACACAGACTTGAGTATTCATCCTAATCCAGCCTTTAACATTGTGGTGTGACCTTAAAATAAGAGTAGATTGTGTGTGTCAATTCCTTCATCCATAAAAGAGTGCTGATGTACACTACAGCGGGCACTGCAGAGGCTGCATGGAACAGGGCAGGGAAAGCACTTACTACAAAGCCAGCATGTACTAACAACACTGCAACAGGACTTCCCTTGGGTTTCCTCTGCATTTACTTGAACAGGTGTGCTGTCCTCAGCAACAATCAATGGAACCTAAAGCTCATATGTGACCCAGACATGGCAGCTCAATAGACAGCAGAGTAGTACACCAGGGCCACGGTGAGGTTGGCTTTTGGGAGCAGGGTAGACTGAATGACTATAATCCAGGCTACTTAACAATTCATGGCCATTAAGTCTTATCATTGAGATATGACTGATGTTCCACTTTTCATTTTGAAATGATGCTTATGTTTGATGACTGTTTCAGGTAGGGATGCTATGGCTTTAAAAAATGTTGTAAATTTGTTTAAACATGTTCAATCTAGTGACACAGAAGTATGCAGAGGAGATTGTTCTGAGTCTCTCATCATGACCTGCCTGACTAGCAAGCTACCAATTCAGAGTTCTACCCAGACAAATATACTTAGGCACAAGACTGGAATCATTCACCCACCATGGAAGAGTCAGTCTTATTATGGAGCTTTGAATGTGCTTTGTGAATCTACATTACATTATTTACTAACTCTGCCCTCTGTTCCATAATTCTCAAAGCCACTCACAGATGTATGGTAAATACACCCCTAGTACCCACTGTTTTAGTTACAAAATAGGAGTCCACAGAACTTTTATAAATATAAACTGTAGGGCGGTGGTGGCGCAGGCCTTTAGTCCCAGCACTCAGGAGGCAAAACCAGGCAGATCTCTGTGAGTTCGAGTCCAGCCTGGGCTACAGAGAGAGTTCCAGGAAAGGTGCAAAGCTACACAGAGAAACCCTGTCTCAAAAAACCAAAATAAATATAAACTGTAAATACTTAATATTATGAGAAACATGTAGTGTTTGTTGCCCTAATTCACATTTTCCATTCTAGTGAGAAAACAGCTATAGTTAATGTGTAAATGTGTGAACTAGCCATGTCCCAGTAAACACAGATTTCTTACTGAAACATACAGGGTCTACTGTTTACCTTTATTTTACTGATCCTTTTGCTATAGGGAATACTGTTCATTATGCAGCAAGCTAATTCCTCAAACAAAAATTGAATCTTTGGTAGATTAAATCCAATTCAAATCTGTACTTACTTATCTGGTATTGTAAAAGATAACCAGTTAAATTTCCATTTAGTTTCTTAGGAAGTCCCCAGGATAAAGTGGCAGTGTCTTTATCAACTTTGATGACCTTGAGAAAACTTGGCTGTTCAGGTACTAGAAAACACAAGATCATAAATGGGCACTCATAAACTAATGAATTTCTAGAAAAAAACAAACAAAAAATTCCCCATGAGATAACACATTTATAGAAACCAAAATGTGAATTCCTCTGAGCTGCACATTCACGATCAATAATGAAGGGAATGTTTAACAGAACCATTAGGTACTTTGCATAGACGGCACCTTCCATATTTATTCTCTCACCTCCTTCTGGTGTCCGAAATATATAAGGCTCACTCTCTGGACCAGCTCCTTTGGAATTATAGGCTAAGACTGTTAAGTGGTATTCACTAAAGGCATCTAGGGAAGGAACCATTCCAGAATTTCGCTGTCCTGAAAATCTTAAGATGTTCACTTCTTTGGGATGTGTCCTTCCATCCAACAGACTTTTGGTTTTCCACCAATTTATCTGCAAAGAAAATACAAACCCTTTAACACAGCAACCGTAGTAATAGATACTCAGTTGACCTCTTGAAATTAGTTTAAACTCTCAGTAAAGAAACAAATTCAATAGTAACAATTACGAAATGAAAATGAAACAAAAATTTACTTAAAAAATATTATCCTGGTACCAACCTGGTATCCTTTCAGAAGCCCATGTACTGTTTCTTTTGGAATTGATGACCAGGTAACTTTAACTAATGTGCTGTTCATAACATCCACACTATGGATCACAGGAGCTGTACTAGGATCTGCAAAACATTTAAGATTGATTAGCTTCCAATGACCTACACACAGGATTCATAAGATCTCTCTCCAAAAGTGATCTTCATAACAATTAGTCTGGGGAAAGCACTCACGAGCTATTGGTTTCAAATGATACCAGTAGTTTCTTGGTACAGAGGACTTTCTCAGGCCGCAGAAGTTACTTTATCTATCCTATTGAGAAACGATGACAGTAATGGGGACAAAATCAAATGAAAATTTAAAGCCATGTCCACTGGGATGTTCTCTGAATAAAAAGAAAAAATCAGAGCCAGTAACATAAATTATTTCAGAATTAGACTCACATTAAAACTACAGTTGTCTTGGTCAGATTTAGTGCAATTTATTTACTTATTTTAATTTTGTCAACTTGACAAAAGCCAGGGTCATCAGAGAAAAAACAGTTTCAAACTGAGAAAATGTCCCCATTACATTGCCTTTAAGCAAGTCTGTGAAGAAATTTATTGATTCACTGGCTGATCTGGGAAGGCCTGGTGCACTGTGGGTGCTAGCTCCCCTGTGCTGGTGGTCCTGGGTTGTATAATAAAACTGAGTAAGTCAAGAGAGCAGGCCAGTAGGCAGTATTCCTCCATGGCCTCTACATCAGTTCCTGTTTCCATGTTCTTGTTATGAATTCCTGCCTTGACTTTCCTCAGTGAAGGAGTGTTGTTCAGAGAACTGAAATAAACTTTTTACTACTCACATTGCTTTTGTACATGGTGTTTATCACAGCAAAAACATTTTAACTAAGACAATAGTCAACATCAATAGAGCATGCATTATGCTTCAGATATTTAGAAACTCTATCTGGATCAACTCATACATACTTTAAAATATCCTTATGAGATCAGCACTGTTGGTCTGTTCTGTACAACTGAGATTACTAAAAAGGAGCCAGCAAGACAAATTGTTTATAAATGATTTTCTTTGTATCATTTTATTTGAGTATAATAATCTAAAGACCGGTAATATAAGAGATTATCATTCTTGACCTTTCCTTTTTGATTCAAAACGTGACTCCAGATACTAGAACAAAATAAGAATATCTCCTAATGTGAAAAGTTGTCCAATGATGTTTTTTCTTTTTCTGGACTACAATTGCAGCAGTTATTATGCTATTAGTATTTAATAAAATGACCTCATGACAGCTATTTCAAAATCATTCAAATGGTTAGAATTCATATTTAAATCTGGATGTGTATCTCATCTGTGTTAGGCAGTCTCCAGGCATGCAAATGAGGTCCAGAGAATAGCAGCAGGCTGTTGCTAAGAAGTCCTTGCTAAGAAAGGGTACATCTAACAAAACCGTGGTAACCCCATGACCATTATGTTCCTTCACAGAGTCTTGTGATGGTTCCAGGTCTTTGATTTTCAAAACACAAAGAATTTTAACAGGTTCTTGAATAAGGCTGAAACTTTCAAAGTACTTGTTTTGTTGTTATGATTTAGTTTTTTTTCTTTGCTTTCAGAACTTTATTATTGTTTTGATACTGTGTCATATGTTGCCCAGACTGGCCACAAATGTATTATGCAGTCAAGGATGACCTTGCACTTCTTATCCTTCAGTCCCTACCTTCAAAAAAACTGGAATTATAGGCATTTTACATCACATCTAGAGCTTCAAACACAGAGCTTTGTGCATGCTTGGCTGGCACTCTGTCAACAAGCTACATGTTCCCAGCAAAAGAACTTCTTTAACATTCTTTCTTGACCAGCTCTCTCCAAGATCAACCCTAACTTCGAGGCATCCACATATATTTTTCTGTCTCATGGGTAATATATTATCTTTGCAAGCAGTAGGTATTGAAAGACGTTGACACAAATGCAGTAACTTAAAAATTTTCTTGATGTGCTTTGGATTTAAGAATGAACCACTTACAGTCTTCCCCTGAATAGAGTGTCACTGGCTGAGGCTCAGGCCCAGAGCCAAGTTGATTGATGGCTTGGACTTGGACATCATAAGGAGCATAGACAGTAGGTGTCATCACCCGCAGTGTGTGGTTTGTAACTGTTTCTTCTTCCCATTCCTCAGGTGCTCCCTGGGGCTTCCAGCTCACTTTATACTCCAGTCCTGGCCCATTCTGCTCCATGGATTTCAAAGGCTAAAACAGAAATCAGTGCTCATTTGATGTACTTGTAGATATGCTGACCTAAAGACAGCAGTGACTAATTTTAAAGACTGTAAAACTAACTGAAAAAAAAGTAGATATCTTAACTATGCTCCTTGGAGTCAGAAGCATTATTGCCATTTTATTAGTTTAATTTTATGCATCAGTCTTCTTCCATCCAAAGACATGGGACACTTTAGAAGCCTGAATTATACACATATGGTGAAACACAAATGCTCATATATAAAATAAATTACAAATAGATTACAAATAGTGTTTTAGATTTCTTGCTTCTGATATATTCTACATTTTGTTTCTACCAAAGAAACAGAAACTATGTGGCCATGAACTCTTGGTCATGGATTCTCAGTCAGAATATTTTCCTCCACAAGATTCTGTCCCAGCTTCCATTAAAAGATGGAGAAGGAACCATCTTTGATTTCAGAAAATGTACATGTCTATAGAGAGCAACTGGAAGCAGTACTTCCCCTTTTTAATGAATACTTTCTTAGCTCCTTGGCACAATATCACCACTTTACTTACTTTATTTTGTCATATAGAATGGTTTTGTGGAAGAGTTTCTGGTTTTCTTTTATTAGAAATTTGTTATTTCAACTTTAGTTTTTAATTAAGGAAAACTTTAAAGAAAAAGTAATGTGGTTTAAAGCACCAATTTAATTTTACAAATGGGTACTTTATTTAAATGATTCAGCTATGTATATAAAAAATTCACTTAAATGCATTTTTCATCCTAGATTAGAAGTTAATTTATATTAAGAGTAAATGTATGTATGTATGTGGGTGACTAAATGCCATATAAAATGTTCTTGAAGTTTTTACCATGCTTCTTCATTCAGTATAACTGGCTAAAATACTTACTAGAAGCATCGGTTGGAATTACATTGAAAACAGAATGCTCTATTAAAAAAATTTTTAATTTTATATTTATTCCAAAGTAACTACTTAAACTAACTAGGAGAAAGAAAATCAAGGACTCTTAAACTGAGCATAGTGGAAAACGCCTTTAATGCCAGCACTCCCAGAGGCAGAGACAGGCGATCTCTGTGAATTCAAGGCCAGCCTTTGGTTTACAGAGTGAATTCCAGGACTTCCAGGCTGTTACAAAGAGAAACCCTGTCTTGAAAAGCCAACCAACCAACCAACCAACCAACCAAATAAATAAATGACTCTTAATTCCCAAAGTTCTTGTTTTTATTTACGTGTACTAGAAAGTATCATTCAAAAATATTTCAGTATAATATGGGTATTGATTTAAATTCTTAGATTCACTAGGGGCCTAACAATATCTAAATAAATTAGACTATACACATTTTTAAGGATTTATTTTTAATTTTTTTTTAAATTTATTTTAATTTATTTTGCAATACAATTCAGTTCTACATATCAGTCATGGATTCCCTTGTTCTCCCCCCTCCCGTCCCCCTCACCTTCCCCCCCAACGCCCCCCCCCCCCCCATTCCCATCTCCTCCAGGGCAAAGCCTTCCCCACAGACTGAGGTCAACCTGGTAGACTCAGTCCAGGTAGGTCTAGTGTATGCAGTGTGTCTGTGTGTAGTTATGTGCAAGTGAGTACAGGTGCCCAGGGACTCCAAAGAAGGCATTGTTTCCCTGGACTTAAGATTACAGAAGGATCTCCATGTCCCTTGCCTACAGTATCTCTCCTCTCTCTCATCAGTTGGATTCCCAGAGCTCAGCCTGGTGCCTGGCCGTGGTTCTCTGTATCTGCCTCCATCAGTCACTGGACAAAAGCTCTGTGATGACAGCTAGGTTATTTGCTAGGCTGGTCACTAGAGTAGATCAGTCCAGGCACCCTCTGGACCACTGCCAGCAGACCAAGGTGGGATCAACCTTGTGGATTCCTGAGAGTCTCCCCAGCAGCCTGCCTCTTCCTATTCCCAGGATGTCCTCATCTATCATGGTATCTTCCTCCCTGCCCTCCCACTCTGTCCCTGTTCCAGCTTGACCCTCCCATTTCCCTATGTTCTCATCCCCCACTCCTCACCCTCTGCCACTCCCCCACACCCAGTCTACTCATGTAGATCTCATCCACTTCTCCTTCACAGGGTCATCCATGTGTTCCTTTTCCCTATTAGCTAGCCTCTCTGGAGTTGTGGGTTGCAGTCTGGCCATCCCTTCCCTCACATTTAGTATCCAGTTATGAGTGAGTACATACTATGTTTGTCCTTCTGAGTCTGGGTTACCTCACTCAAGATGATATTTTCTAGTTCCATCCATTTGCCTGCAAATTTCATGATATCATTGTTTTTACTGCTGAGTAGTACTCCATTGTGTATATGTGCCATATTTTCTTTATCCATTCTTCAGTTGAGGGGTATCTAGGTTGTTTCCAGGTTCTTGCTATTATGAATAATGCTGCTATGAACATAGTTGGGAGGACGTGCAGATATGACTGGCCACATTAGTGGAAGCCCATGAACTGTGGACTGGTGGCTGTGGAGCCCCCATGGGACTGGACTAGGCCCTCTGGATATGGAAGACAGTTGTTTGGCTCGAACTGTTTGCGGGGCACCCAGGCATGGGGATCAGGATCTGTCCTTAGTCTATGGGCAGGCTTCTGGAGCCCGGTGCCTGTGGTGTGACACCTTGCACAGCCTTGGTGCAGTGGGAAGGGGCTTGGACCTGCCTAGGCTCGGTGTGCTGGGCTCTGCTGACTCCCCATGGGAGAACTCGATTTGGGGGATGTGGGGATGTGGGGTGGCTTGGAAAAGAGGGCTGGGGGATGAAAGAAGGGAGGAGGGGAGATCTGTGGATAATATGTGGAGTGAGTAGTAAATTTCTTAATAAAGAAAAATGAAAGAAAAAAATTAAAATTAAAATAAAAAAAGAAAATTTGAGGAAACACACACACACAAAAAGATTACAGAAGGATGTGGGGCATCTGTCATGGGTGCTGGGCTAAAAAACTCAGTCTTCTATAAGACAGTATGTGCTCTAAATCACCAAGTCAACTCTCTAGTCACTGATACAAGCTTTTAGGTCCAAACCACAATCAATAATTATATTTTTTCCCAATCCTTACTGACGATAAGTATATAAGTTAATATTATTAAGTTTGCTCATATTTTGCTCTAAGGAAAAAGGTAAATTTAATAATGTTCCCTGACAAAGTTTAAAGTAAACTTTGCCAGTGTTAAGAATAATTACTTAGTTATGTTGCCAACTATTTAGTCCCTGGGCTTCTGAAGGAATTTTGTATTTTGCTTTGAGGCAACAGTGAACAAGAAAAACAAAAAGACTTCAATAATGTTCAAATGACGTAAGGAAAGTTAAGTCTCAGAAGAGCAATGGTGATGAATCAGGCGAAGAGGCCACTAGCCTCCTGTCTCTCGTCCAGCCTGACCAGAGTGAAGAACTCTCTAGAAGGACACTGTTAGGTTAGCAACATAAGAACCCACAGAAGTCCTCGGAAGGACCTTAGAAGCCTACGCTATTGTTATCAAGTCAGAAATTGTGTGTACTTAGTGTAGAGCACATGCTATTTTGAATATATTTATATTGTCGACTATAAAAATGGTAAAAATCACGTAAGTTTTCACTGTGTCATACATACGTATTTTTGTGTGGTGAGAGTTGTTAAGATTCTCCCTTCTACCAGTTTCTAAGAATACAGCACATTTTCTAAACAATGTTCATCATTTTGTTTCCTTAAATTTCCATTTAATTCTCTTTAGTTTAATTTTAAGTCGATTCTTTTTCTTGTGAAACTTTGAGTTCATATAATTAAACCTTTAGCACTCGGAGGTGAATGCCCTGGGTATGTAAGTTAGCTCCTGAAGAACTTCCAACTTCCCTGCTTCCGCTTGATGTCTGGGTGAGTTCATTCACTTGCTTGTTGTTTAGGTATCACTTATGCATTTTATTTTGAAGCTAGTTATGTTATTGAAATAAATTTTAAAATTCTTTTAAATATGCTTAGGAAAAATGAACAAAAACTATCAAGCAAGAGTATTTTTTTAAATCCTTTTGATGATCTAAATCCATATGTTAATATAATAAATTTTTAAGTAAAATAGAATTATATCAATTTCCCTTTCTTCTCTCCAACCTCTCCCAGGGACCCCCTGCCTCACTCCCTCTCAGCATCATAGCTTATTTTTTTTATTTGCTATTGTTTTACACACACACACACAAATATATATAAATACAACTTGTTCAATCTGTTTAGTTTTACTTGTATGTATATATTTCAGGACTGACCGCTTGGCATTAATTAACTACTTAGGGGAAGGCTATTTCATCCATGGGGAAGACTGTTTCTTCCACTCAGCATTCCTTAGTTGCCTGTTTTTTGTTATTTGTTTACAGATGGATCCTAAGTCCCACTCAGCAAGACAGAAATCATCCCTGATGCTAGACACTTAGCCAACCTCCTAGGGCTAGTGACGTCATGGGATCTTAGTGGAGAACCTACTACCACCAATTTACTAAAACAAACATAACTCCTAGCTGCATTCTTAATATCTAGCCGTATACCTGCAGATGAATGCAGCTCTCACCCTTCATCAAAGAAACTTCTCTTTGCAACAGGAGAAAATGACAACCAGCCAAAATGCAGAGAACAAGGGACTGTGGGGCGTGCCCAGGCCCAGTTGATCCATCTACTACATAACCCTAGTTCCAGAAGAAACTTGAGAATTATATATTGAAATAATATTATCATGGATGCTATCTCAGCAGATATAAATTGTTTTGCCAAAGTCAAAGAGTGCTCTGTTTTAGCAACATTTCCTGGTCATCAGTTTCTAATAGTGTGAGGAAAGGAAGGCCCTCAGTGTCTGTGTCTAAAGCAGAGAATTGATGAGGTTATAATCAGAATCAGAAGTAAATGCCTATAAGATTCATGGCACCTATTTGGAGAAGGGTATTTCATAATATTTATTAGACCATATGGTGAGAGTTTTTTTTTACTATATTTTAATTGTGAAAGTATCTAAAATACTTGAAATAAATTACTAGAAATTTGAAATTTCCCATATCAGATTTCATCTTGATCAATTTGTTTATCTGTCATTAAATCTTTTTTTCTAGAATTAATCCACATTTTACACTCATTCCTTTTGTTTGTTTCTCAGCTCTTGGAACTGAGCCCAAACTCTCTTTCTTTCTAGACAAGCACTCCACCGGTGAGCTACATCTCTAATCCCATTTTATAGCAATTTCTAATCACCGTGATCTTACAGCACTGACAACTAATCCAAATTCAGCGTTAGTTCCCAGTCTTATTTTGTTGTTTTTTTAAAAATACTGTTGTGTCATTACAGTTGGCAAGCCTGGTTAAAAGGAATAGCCAAAGGAAGCAAATTAACACCTTAGCGAATACACACCTCCCATTTTATAATCATCTCCTTGGGTTGAGATGCTTGAACCCTGATGTTCTGTGGATTCTTGTCCGGAGCTGAGAAATAACAAGCATTAAAGGTATTTTTATATTTTTTAGTAACCAGTTGGTTAAACGTCACATAACTCTACCCAGCCCCTCAAACACCCAATAATTAAATATTTTATATTTATTAATTTCAATAAATCTCATTGCTATGAAGATGATACATTTTATTAAAAGGAGTAAAATAGCACTCTCAGAGTTCTGTATTTGCTATACTGTGAATAGTACATGATTTACTACATATACCTTAAATTTAAGCCTACTAATTAAAATTCTAATCCTGATTTAATATACTTATTTTCATTTTCAAACTGTACTTTTTTATCAGAATTATTGAGATATGTATATGATGTGAATATATACCTCTAGAAAATGAAATTGAAATTCATGTGTCAACATCAACAAGCAACTTTTATGGATATCAAATTGATATAGCATGCAATACACACATGAAATAAATTCAGGCAGATACATTTTATTAGAAGCATCCTAACAAGAATTTTAACACTGAGTCCAATATAAACTAAAATCATGCGGGCAACATGCTTATTTTACTCCAGGAAAAGCAAACACTATATTAAACCATGATACTGCCCAATGCTAATTCTGTAATATATATTGTTTACAATGTCTCTGTTGGTTATTCATAAAAATATACTGATGATTTAGATAAGTATGGAAATAAAAAATGCCAAATGCATAAGATGTAACACTAGCACACAGTTTTAAAATTTTAAAAGATTTCATATGAGCTAAAAGCATTTCTTTGAAAATTGAATACATGACTTTCTCTATATATTGAACTTCCATTTAGAATATACATGATGAAATACACTTCAACTGTGATATTTAGCTATTGAAAACTATTCAGAGTAATGTTTTTTCACATACCATACTCCAATGCCAATCTTCTGTTCACTATCAAATAATTACACAACTCTAAAAATTAAAAATAAACTTCTAATATTTTACATTGCTAATTTATAGAACTTTTCGAATTATTTGGAGGAATCTAAAATCCTACATTACATGTTTGATCTTTTTTTAAAGAAATGTGTACAAAAACAAAGAGACCATCCATACCTGCTGGTGGAGTTTCATGATGGTCCGATGGAAGGCTGGCGTAACTTCTCCCCACTTCATTCACAGCTATGACCCTGAACTGATATCTCACATATGGAGCCAAAGATAACACAGCTTCTGTTTCTACTCCTTGGACTCTAGTTAGCTCCTGCCACTTTCCAGGTTCCTCTCTGTTCCCTTCAAATTCTATAATGTACTCTGAGGTAAGAACAGGAGCAAACCATTAGATCATATTGAATTTGTTGAAGGTCTACTAAGATTTATTTGCCATATTAAACGCTTAAAACAGAAGAAAAAGGGAAGTGATATCGGTACTGACAGAACAGTAAAAAGCATTTTCCTTCAAAGCGTGAAGCCCTGTGTTCATTTCTCAAACCCACATAAAAAGCTGGTGGTGTGCATTTGTAATCAGTGAGGGGAAGGTGGAAACAAGAGAATCCCTAAGGTTCCTAGACAGTTAGCCTCATCTACTGGATAAGTCACAGGCCAGTGAGAGATCCTGCTTCAAAACAGTCAGACAAACCAGTACCAGCCAATATTAAGGAATGACACCCAAGGTTGATTTTTGACTTACATATATGCACACATGTGTACACACACACACACACACACACACACACACACACACACACACACACACACAAACCTGATTCAGTTTCCAGCACCTACACAGCAGCCCACAATCATCTGTAACTCTAGTTCCAGGCTATACAATGTCCTCTTATGACATCCACAGGTACTTCACTCATGTGGTACACAGACATACAAACACAAACACACACACACACACACACACACACACACACACACACACACACACACACACACATTAATAACACACAAGTCTAATTTAAAAAGAAAGATAATCTACCAATGGAAATTAAAATAGCTATGATATTAATTTGACTCTGTTGGGTAAAGATAAAGGTCCTTTCAAATCTTCCTACCACTGATATTGCTGTTGTGGTCATCTCCAGCTTCCCAGGACAGTCGGACACTCCTGTTTTGTCTTTCTGACAAGAGAAGGTTTCCTGGAGGATCTGGAACACCTAGTCAATAACAATAGATAGCTGTAACATGACAGCAAACAGCTTACAGGAGAACTGAGGGTGCCAGAGCAGAGATGGTTCCATGTGGCAGGCACCACCTTTTTCAAGGGATTTCAAGATCATTGGTCATCAAGACCATTGGTCATCAGCCAAGTTCAGCTTCCTGAGAGGAGTTAATAGTCAAAGCTTCCAATTTATCTGTAAACTCTTCACTCTGAGGATGAACTAGGCTGATGGTAAAATAGTCTTTTTATACACTTACGATTCTTTAAAGTTCACAAAGCACATTTTCATTTTTTTATTATTCTTCTTTTATACCTGACCACAGCTTCCCCTCCCTCTACTCCTCCCAGTTCTCTCCCACCTCCCTCTCCCGCAGTTCCATGCCTCCACCACCTCCCCTGAGAAAAGAGCAGACCTCTTATCTATGTTATTTTATTTAGTCAGAGTGTTTGCCTCTCTTGGGCACTGATTCAAAGAGAAGCTGAGCCCTGAAAATATTTTACTTTTGTCAGTGATGCATAAAAATATTAATACAGCAAAATATCAAGAAACTATCTGTTGTAGGATAATCTTTTTGTACATTGTGAAGATGTGTCTTTGCCAAGGTGCTTTCTGAATGGTTTAGTTAGGAAATGAATGGCTAGTAGCTAGGCAGAAGAAGATAGGTGGGATTTCAGGGAGAAAGAGGGAGAGGAAATGAATCTAAGCATGAGAGAGATGCCAGCAAGACATGGAGGGAGTCAGACATGCAGAGTGAAAGGAAGGTAAAAAGCCACAGGACAGAATGTAGATTAATAAAAGCAGGTTAATTTAAGTTCTAAGAGCTAGCTGGGAACAAGTCTGAGCTAAAGGCCAAACTTTCATAATTAATAGTAAGTCTCTCCATCATTATTTGCAGGCTGGTGGTCCAAAAAGTCAGATGGGAATGCTTGCTACAATTACCTGAGAATTTGTCCAAGCTTAGCTGTGCATGTCACTGTGTTTCTTTATAAACAAACATAATCTTAATACTTGAGGTGGAAACAAAAGACAGCTATAAAGAAAGCACAGACTGCTGCTTTGCTGCCCTGATTCCCAGGCTCAGAGACACCCGCAGTATCCCTTCCTTTCTGAGACCACTGAGCTGTACACATCTTGGCAGCCCTAGAGCTTTTATTTCAAATGGTGTCTTCATCATATCTATTTCCCTGTTGGACACAACTGTTCTCAAAAGACCACACTTGACTGACAGGGCATCGGAAATGTCTGGAGAAGAATATTTAACAATGAATGGCATCTGTTCTTCATGTCTGGTTTACTGAAGGAGGGATGACCAGAATGGGCACTTGCAAATTTCTTGCCTATATGATGATTATGTATGGTCAGGTTTAGGAGATATGATGGGTCCCTGGTAGATCACTGATTTCCTCCAGTTCATCCTGATCTATGTGCCAGGCTCTTCTCCTCTGTGGGACTAGAGTATCTTTAGGAGAAGGGATGTCTTACTAATCTTTGTATTGTTCATGATAAGTGAACATAAGTGTTTTGTGACTAAATGAGAAATTGAAAAACATATTGTCATTTCAACCATGCATATAGTTATTCTATTAAATGAATAAAAATTGTGTCCTATGGTTATAGATAAACAAGACAGGGACTATGAGCTTTGCATGGCTCTTCTGCAATTGATTTGGGATTTTACTATAATTAGTGATAGTCAGTTGTACATGTGTTACAACAGCTTTTATAGGATGTTGGCCTGGTGTCTGCAAAATGTGGGAAATAATTGTATAATAGAAGATGCATATTGGGCAGTGGCAAATGTACCAGAAACTGATAAATCAAATATTTAAGTGTTAAGGTACATGGATATATCATATATATGATATATGTATGTCTCCATGGTAAAAAGAAAATGTTATCTTAAACTTTAGTTTAAAATTTGCTCTAATATTCTCAACTATTCAAGGACATATGCTTTAGTTTGGAGGAGACAGTAAAGCTATTATCATGCTGGCCTTTACTATTTGACAAATTCTTGTTAAGTATACATTTACAAAAAGCATTGTTTATAGTTCAGAAAGCAACATGCTTACTTTTAAAGTTTGGCACATGACTCTATTCCAAGATCAAGGACTTAAATAAGAAAATGTTTCCCCAGGAGAGGGCTTCATGATCAGACTGCTTGCCAGGGGTGTACAAAACCATAGGTTTAGCCCAGTCCTCCCTGCTCACAAAACGTATTTCTTCAACAGTGTTCTATATTTGCCAGCTTGGAGAATTTACTTTTCTCTTTGGGATTTGCTAAGAATCCAATGCATCCTGTGGTTTCCTCGCCGATCCCAATTACCATGTTTCACTTGAGATGAAAATCTGACTTCTTCAACCAGCCATCACATGGAAACAGAAGAACAAAGGCTTTGAAAACTGATTCTTAAAATATTTGATACCAAAACTCCTGGAAATAACTTCTAAGCAAATTTGTTTATGTCTAGGATTTTAAAACATTGTTTTCTAGGATAAAATATTCTAGGAGCTACACCTATGCCAAAAATAATTTTATGGTCAATTATTGATATATTTTAATCAGATATTAAAACTAAAAAAATATAATTTAAAACCAAGGAAGCAGTTTTTAAAAGTTACCCTATCTTATCTTAAATTCTTTACTAAATTGTTAGGAGAGTACCAATAACATAAATGGTATCTATGGTCATAGCTACTAGCTGGGTGGTGGTGATGCCACCGCCGCCAACCTGTGCCACCTCCACCCGGCTGGTGATGCATACCTTTAATCCCAGCACTCGGGAGGCAGAGCCAGGCATATCTCTGTGAGTTTGAGGCCAGCTTGGTCTACAGAGCGAGATCCAGGACAGGCACCAAAACTACACAGAGAAGAAACCCTGTCTCGAAAAACCAAAAAAAAAAAAAAAAAAAAGAGGAAGACTAATATGAGGGTGAATTTTAATATTTGCAATGAAATTTAGAAGGTGGGTGCTGACAGCAAAAACCGACCTTTCCTTGCTGCCATCACTCAAAATATGGAGGCAGAAAGCTCATGTGTCCAGATGCTCTGTACTCATGACACCTGAGATGCAGCTCTCCAGATGCTCAGCTTCTGTGACTTGCAAATACTGCTGGAATAGCTACCAGAGAATGAAATATTTCCACTTGCAGAGTCCTGAGGAAACTCACTTACCTAGAGCTAAACAACTCACCCACCGAGCCAAGTCTATACTCTCTACGATGTAGGATGTACTACATTGGCCTCAACTTAGCAGCTATTGGCTTCATATAAAGGAATCCAACACCAGCTTACTCACTTCCCATAGAAGGAAATTGTTAAGCTCTCGGTAGTGGGCCATCTCAGGTAATATTTAGCTCATTACATTAGGAAATGTCAAAGGTGTTAACAGGAAGTCCTTCTTAAATGTATGTGGTATCCATAAGAGCCTGTTTTTGAGGTTGGCTTGAAATTCGAATGGTAGGAGGATCCCTTGAGAAGAAATTGTGTAGGAAAAGCCTTTTTGGAAGAACTATGACTTTGGCAGTGAGATTCAGCAAGCCTACATACAGGGAGAGAAGAAGGGGTATGATTGCCCTCCATACTTCTCAGGATGGTATACCTGCAGCATCAAAGGAAAACTACAGTTTAAATGGTTTGCTGCTGTTGTCTTTACAGAGCAGGTTTGCAGTTGGAAGAGCTGGTGGTGAGTCAATGGAGAAAGGCAGTTGGAAAGCAGCCAGCAGATGGTCTGAGGGCTATAAACTCTGGTGATTTCAGGGCTAATTGCATGGATTGCACTAGTGAAGGGTGCACACTGTTTTCCAATTAGTAATTTAAAAAAAATCAAAGATGTTCCTTTACCAAATACTTGATGTCTGTGCTCAGCTTCCTGGGGCCTTGGGAGCTCAACCTAAGGTTCTGGTGCAGACTATAAACACCAGGTATCGACCACTGGACACTCCCATTCTCCAGTCTTAAATAGAGCCCTCTTCCATTCTCAGCCCCACTTCTCTGAACATTAGTAATGGGTGGATTGAGACCTTTGTTCTTCTTTCCACTGACAGCATCGTTTATTTCCTGCTGCTACTGGCAAACTTCCCACATAGGGAAAAGGAATTAAGCATTAATTAATTTCTTTTATGTGAGAAGAGTAGAAATAATCTAAAAATGAAGTTGCAGTTCAAACAAACAAACAAACAAAAAATCAAATTTTACTTTAAGAGCAGAGGCTCAAGAAATCAGTGGCTTTAACACCTAGAAACAAGGGAAGTTAAACGCTCACAGGAAGCATGTGCAGAGATTCTCTCTGTTTTCACTTACCAAGGACGGTTACTTGAGTTTTCTCAGAAATGCTATCAAGAGCAGTTTGAGCAGAACAGGAATAAATACCCTGATCTTCTACTGAGATGTTGGATATGGTCAGATTAGCTCCATCAATCACTATTCTGTTGGGGGCAGAGGGCAAACACAAAGTACATGATGAACATCTCCAACAGCAGAAATACAGTCCTTTAGCAACACATGATGCAAGTTTCTTTAAGGTAAATGATTCCAGGCAGAGTGATGAAACCAGTTCATACAATGCAAATGTTACCAGAGAAGGTCACAGATGAAAACTGGGAATACAGTCTCACAGTATATACACATGACTACACAGTATTAAATGGAATCCCATTTTAACAAATTACAAAATTACAGGTTGCGACGGAAGTCTGGGCTGGCTGCCATGTTTAAGAAACATATCACACTAACAGAGCTAGGATTTTGTGATTTTTGGTTTTCAGATTTTAAAGACAGGGTTTCTCTGTGTAACCTCCCTGGCTCCCAGGCTGTCCTGGAACTCTCTCTTAACCAGGCTGGCCTGGAACTCATAGAGATCCACCTTGCCTCTGCCTCCCAAGTGTTGGTGTTTATATAATTATTATTATTATATGAGGGAATCTCATACAGAATCAATGAGGATGCTTCTGAAAAGAGAAGATTCTAGAACCCTACCCAGTTCCATAGAACCAGAATATTATGATGGAATCAGAATATAATATAATCTTTTTTAATGTTTCCCTGTCCTCTACTTCCAAGATGTAATAATGGAAGCATTTAATGTATTTGAACACTAGGTGGCAGTCCTGTACTTCTTTCTGCAAATCATTTCAAGTAGCTTTTTAAAATTCATTTTTATGTATTTTGCCAGTCTGCAATAGTTTGTGATGCAAAAGTCATTCTTTTATCAATTTTATTTTTTACTCTAGACGCATAGACATATTATCAACACAAATCCTCATTTTTTTACATAAAGTACTATTAAATTTAAAATATATTCACAGTAATAGCTATTAGTTGAAAAATACTGTAAGCAATGGCTTCTTTATGGAAAGGATGACAGTCTTACACAATTGAAAATTTTAATGCTAAATTAATAAACTGAAAAATTTTAAGACTAGAAAACAAAACTGAATGATATGTGACTGACTTTGGCTGGAGGTAGTGCCCCTTGTTCTTACATCAATTTGTATAATGAGAATTTGCCAGTCAGTACTACTAGTTGTTTGTGGGGAAGAATCCCACCACAATAAGTTAGGGGTCACAGTTGAAACAAATGCCTTTGCAAAGAGAAATGGCGTATATACACATACGCAGATATTAAGACAATGAGGCCAAGGAAGTAGCAGCCAGGAAAGAGACCGACTAGAGAAATGATGAATGAATTGTCCAAAAAAGAATAGTGAACAATGATCTGTTTCCTATATTTTCTAAGACCATCAAATCTTAATTCACAATAATCGTATGCTCCAGATTTTTATTCCTTTCCATCGAGTCATGTTATAAAAAGTGGAGGTAGAAAGACATCTAGCAGATAATGTGAGGGCACCAATCCCTTAAGGGCCAATGTTGAGATTTGAACACCACTGAGTTTTAATCCATTTTTTAAAAAAAAGCCAAGACTGCTGAGATCTCATAAAAAGAGAGCTTGGAGTATTTCCAGACCTTCTGAGTTGCTATGTAACTTCAGATGAGATTTGACTTCAAAATGATAAATTCCTACCTCTCACTCAAAGACAATACAAGCTGAGGCAGAACTGACCTTTGTGCCATTTAACAGACAAAGCAGCCTTTCTCTTTTGATTCTACTGGATGCTACTGATCCCTTTATCTTTTTGTTGCCCTTAAACTCCCGTGATTCTCAACAGCCATTCAAACTTTCCTTTGTTCTATGTTCTGTATTTCTCCTGTTCAGAATACTCAGAAATTCAGCTCCAGCCTTTCTACACATAAGCTCTCCATTCACAGATTCAACTGATAATGGATGGACAATGTCTTTTAGACTTGCATCTGTACTGAACAGGTACACTTTTCTTGTTATTATTCTCTAAATCACACTGTATAGTGACTATTTGCTGAACACTCCCACCGTATAGAGTATTTAAAATGCTGTAAATGTAACCTACATCATGAATAAAGGCACGAGATTCAAATAGAACACCCTTTTATAGAACACACTTGACCACATTGATTTTGGTATCTGCCTAGGATTCTGCAAGCTACTCCTAGAGATATAAGGGCCAGCTAATGCGGGCAATATCTTATAACAGGATAAGGGGTTTTATGGGCGAGAAAAACTCGTGTGAGACTGGCAGATAGAAGGGAATGGACACTGCCCTTCTAGGAAGCAGTGGGGACAGTGGCTCTGGCAGACAATGGGGTAGCAACAGTTGACCTGTCCTGTAGCATCCGGGGGTGAGGGGCGGGGGCGGGGAAGGGTGTCTGAGGAGGAGGCAGAAGTTTTCAGAAACCTGGACCACAGATGTACTGCCCATGAGCAAGAACCCCCCAAAACAGCAACATCTTCCTCTTTCAGTCTTCCCAATGGTTTGGGAAGCTTCTAAACCTATGCAGCTAATCTGCATCGCACACCTGACTTCTCCTTCCTACACTGAGAGGAGAAACTGTGCTTCATAAGAATGAGCACAAGCAAGAAGAAGAACATATAAAATAAACAAAACAGATATTTTAAGACCTTCTGAATACTGATTTGAAGAATGAAACATTTGAATCAGTTTTTGTACTTTAATGCAGTGTGAATAATTTGGGGACTTTTTTTTTTTTTTCTAATGTGAGATCTTAAACTCATATGCACCGATGTCCTTCCCTAGCAGTGTACTTACCTGCCATCTTCTGTGCCATTCATTTCAAAAACTTCTCCATCTTTACTCCAGGACAACTTCAAACTGTGTTTCAAATGTGAGTCACATTGGCTTTCACAGTGTAGTTCAAGCACATGTGATTTGGGGATTCGAGGATTCTTTGGAGAAATTTTGAGCTTTGTAGCATCTGTATGTTTTTCAGTCAAACAAAGGTGTGAGTTAGAACTACAGATCACAGTCCACTTTGTTATTCAATGTCTATAACCTTAAAATTGTCATGATTCTGTCAAATTTACATACAATGTGTCCCACTGTAATTTTCTAACATTAAACCTGAGAAAATTTAGGTGCAAGCACCAACTAATATTAGCATGATTTCTTACTATTCTTTGCTAAAGTAAATAACTAAATTGTGAGCTGACAAATATCTCTAGAGGTTGAAAACAACATAATTTCTCATTGTGTATCATCCAGATATATAATTATGTTGTAAGGAAAATTGGAAAATTAGTTGATTTTATATTAATATACTTATTATTAAATCAGAAACATGAGCTGAAATGGTGAAGCCCTAGCATAAATGTGCTATCCACACAAACATGGGGGATTAGACATCAGCCCTGCACAAGGGAGGCCAACACTTGTTTTCCTACTCAGAGGTACTCCCAGAGCTTAGGAGGGAGGACACTGTAAACATTGAATATTTACTTGTGGAGTTTCTTGCTGAATGAATGTGGGAGAATAATAATTCAGGATAAAAGCAATTGCTGCTATCAAAACCATGAAGCTAAAAGATTAAAAAAAAATTAAAATAAAAATGTCAGTGAGGCCTGAGTCTATCAGCAGCTTCCAAGGACTTCACTGAAGGGGAAAGCCTGGTTGATGTTCCCAGTTTAAAGAGAACAAAGAAAGCCTGCCCAAGCTGTTAGGCTGCTTTTTTTTTTTCTAGTACCAAACTTCTATGATTTTGTTAAATGCTCAAACAAAACTGGTACTTGGTAATACCTCAAGTTCACTACTTGATTTAGTATAGATAAATAAACATAGAATTGAAACTATACCCAAATAAGTCAGGTGGTGGTGGTGCATGCCTTTAATCCCAGCACTCGGGAGGCAGAGCCAGTTGTATCTCTGTGAGTTCAAGGCCAGCCTGGACTACAGAGCAAGATCCAGGACAGGCACCAAAACTACAGGACAGGTTTCTCCATAGAAACCCTGTCTCAGAAAAAAAAAAAAAAAAAAAAAAAAGAAAGAAAGAAAATATACCCAAATAGGAATTTCTTAAGATATAGGTGGTCATCTACCACTAACAATCTAACAACCCACAGCAACCTGCTAAGAGGGCCCCACTCCACGGATATCACATCCTGCCATACTACCAGTAGTCTTTCAGATGAAATACAATGGAGGGCTTTTGAGAAATGATCAAAGGACCTTCAAAAGGTACTCAAAATGACACTGTTTTCTCTGAGAAAACAGAGAGAAACCAAAGCTATGTGAGAACTCATGAAAGCAAAGGCAAAATAACAATACTTCTAATATCCAAGTTGGCTGTGATGACGGCTTTTCCCATTGCGTTGTCTACCCAACAAGAGTATGATCCCGCATCTTCCTCAGTAGTTCTGTAGATCTCCAGTGTGCCGTTTTCATGGGTATGGTACCGATGACCTTCAAGGGGATGTGCTTCATCAGCCACTTCCCTGTGGAGATGCAGAAATGAGTCATTTTGGATTATGACACAATTCTGTACCCTTCAGATCCTGCTCCCTGATGTTATCTAGGCTCACGTCTTCTTTGGGTGCTTGGTAGACCATCTGAAATCTTTTTGTGGGAACTAATTTCTCTCCTAGAACTGTCCAAGACATGAATCAGAGCTGACCAACAGACTATGGCTAAAAAGAACCCAATTCCCTCCTTGGACAGTTGCCTCTGTCTGCCTCATAGATTCTAGCACTGCTTTACACATGTCCTAAAGCTTAATAAATATTTTCTGGCTTATTTATGGTGAAGTCTTTAGTTAATGATTGCTCCAGGCTAGCAAACGGGAAAGCTAGTAATTGAAACAGATAATGAACCTTCCCAACCTCCCACTGTCCTAGGAGAACATTGGTCATTCAGAAATATTATAAGCCAGGAAGTCTTGCCTCTCCTGTGGACATGCATTACATTTACCCTATCAACCTCAGGCTCATTTTCTCCCACATTCATCCATTCTCCAAGCATTTCTTGTCACAGCTTGATTAACCCTGTGAATTTCACAGTAAGTGATTGCTTGTGCTCACAGTTGCAGAGGACAAGCGGGCCCCTGGCACAGGTTTTACAAAGTGAGGGCTAGGCTGAGAGGTGCACATGATTTGCCTCAGATGCAAAATGTAAAAGCATTGTCAAAAATCAAGGAAGTAATATTTTAATCAAATAGTTCTAACGGTCAAAACCAAAAAAAAAAAAATCACAATTGACTTAGACAAGATGTGACTCTGATTTTGCATAGCCTGATTTCACTTCTTTCACAGTAAAGTAGTCAAACCTTATCAGTAAAGCAACTAACACAGTATATGCTTATGGTGATAAGTTTAAACTTAAATAACAGTATTATTGAAATCAAAATAAATGTTAGCAAAGTCTTCAGTGTATTTGTAATTGGCTGTAGGTTAAGATAAATAAGCAGACAGCCCAGAGGCCAGAACAACCCTTAGATAGTCCCATCACAGACAAAATAAATCCATCTTTAAAATTATCTTAGGAATCATTTTAATTCTTTGCTCTATGAACACAATTGACTCTGTATATTTCTTCATGTTAAAAAAAAAAAAAAAAAAAAAAGAATCCCAGAATTCTAGTCAACGTTTTCAGGAGGGATGAGTCATTAAAATTTGTTTCCTTATTTTTCAGAGGCATCAGCTCTCTGTAGCGACACAGACACAGTGCAGGCTGCCAAATGGTGGCTCCAGAGTCCCCAACATCCATTCCCTTAATGGAGCAGCAAGTCATCTTACCAGATTACTGTGGCCTTGGGTGAAGCAAAGTACTCGCAATGTAAGAAGGCACTATACCCAACTACCGTTGCGTAATTTTCTTCGTTCTTTGTTTGTATCAGTGGGACAACATCTGGTCAGAAATAAAGATAAGGTTTTAAACCTTTCTGCCTGAGGTTGTCCTCTGGCCTCCACATGAACACAAACATGTACATTCCCTCACTGAACTTAACACACCCCCCCAAAACAAGCTGGCACTTGTGACTATAACTTTGAGCATTTTAATTCAGCAAATAGCAGGTGAAGTCAGGACTCAGGTCTGCTCACCTACAACGTCAATATTGGCACTGGCAAGGATGGTCCCATGGATATTTGAGGCTTCACATTGATATACAGCAGTATGGTTTGGTTGTAGATTTGTAAAACTGATTTCCCTGGGGAACATAACGTCACCAGGAAATGGATGATCTGAAAGAGAAGAGAGAATGTCACTATGATAAAGAACAGAATATAAAATATTTATGAACCATTTATTAAATGTGTCACACAGTATCTATATTTGAAGACCAGTTTAGGGTGAAAAATAGTTCACTGAAGTCACGTCTTTACAGTTTGCTCAAATCAACATGAGTGCCTTTTCAGACCCTTTTGCATTTGCAACATCTTTTCAAATTATGTTTTCAAATAAATATTATGAGAACCCATGTTGCCCTACAGCTCACTGCCTCTTTGTATCCCTGCTTATAATAAGATTGGAGGTGACCTGTTTGATACCTGAGTCCTACTGTGAGGGAACTCATACTTCAGCATCTGCATCTAGATGTCACCAGTGCATAGCAACACAATAGAGCCTAACTAGCCCTGGTTTCTCTCTTGACAACATTTTCTCTGGTTCATTTTTCCCCTTCCTACTATTTTTGTATTTATTCCATTATTTTGTGTGATTTATATTATCATTTAGCCAATTCAAGTTTGTAGCTCACAACCCTTAATCCTTTCTCCTTCCCTCCTTCCTTCCTCATTCACCCCCTTCATCTTTTTGAGAGTAGTTGCCATGTCTACAACTTTTTAGGAATAAAATCTACACTACTTTCTATAACTATCTCCTTTTTACTCCATGGTTTCTGAAGTTACTAGAGGGTATTTACTCATATCTGGAGATTTGGAGTTAGGAACCAGAGATGAGAAAGAATATGTGGAGTTTATCTTTCTGGGTCTGAGTTACTGCACTAAATATTATATTCTCTAGTTACATCTATTTATCCCCAAATTTCATGTTTCATTTTTCTTTACAGATGAATAGTGTTCCTTGGTATATATGTACCATATTTACATCATCCATTTATCAGTTGAAGTACATGTAGGTTGTTTCCATTTCTTATCTATTTGTGAATAGAAGTCACTCCTAGCCCCTAGAAACATGTTCATTCAGAGAGCACTGAATAGATTCAATACCTTGTATTTATATGTTTGTTCTTGTGTGTGTGTGTGTGTGTGTGTGTGTGTGTTTGTATCTATGAGTGTGTCTCTCTCTCTGTGTGTAACACTAATGACAAAAGAACAATAATGACTAGAGCAGCTGTGAATTTAAGAGGGAAGGTCCAGCAAAAAACTATAGGGAAATTATGCAATTACATTTTAAATGAATTTTAAAAACACATTAAAACACAATACTATTGATTAAACATATAGTTATCTGTTGGAAATTAGAGTACCTAACACTTTTATGGGCTTATTAAGAGCCACAGAATCCCACTGGGTATAGTCAATGTGTTATTACATTGTCTCTGCTTAGAACCTGTTGTATCAGCATTTACAAGGCTTTGTAAGCATCACTTTCAGAGAAAATGAACATCTTACAGCATCTGGAAACAAGTTGGGCTCTAAATAATCCCTTGTCTTGACACACAAGAAATGAAGAAAAATGTTTTGTGCTAGAATTTTTGAGCAAGGACAACGATTGCAGAAATTTTAGTTTAAATGACATCAATAAATATTTTCTTTCTCCTTGTATTACCATCATACAAAATAACAATTACATTGAACTTCATGGAGTGGGAAACAAGAATTGCTACATATTGGGAGACTGTTTTATACAATTTTTTCTTTCACTAGAACCATAATGTATGCATTCCTCCAGTCAGCTGTGATGCCTGTATCCATGCAGATGTATAGTGTGTTATTAATACCTAAAGAGCAAGCATAACAAAGCAGTGAGTAAATATTTGTGGAAACATCTGAAATAAGTACAAAGGATGACATCTTATTCATGAAAGTTCCCTGTCAGTAGACAGAAATATAGGTGCTGATGTTCACTCACAGAACTATGACTATGTGCCTCAACAACAACAACAACAAAACAACAACAAAAAAACACCCAGGTGTGAATAAGGCTGAGGACTTTGATATAGAGGAGTTATGCTACAATTCAGGTGGGCCCCATGTAACTACATTGCTTCTTGAAAATCAGAAACTCTTGTCTGGCTATAAAATCAGAAAGGTGTGGGCATGAGAAAATGACCATGGTGATAATGATGTCAACTATGAAGACAGAGGAAGAGAGTCATGGGTGAAGAATATAGGCAGCCTTTCGTAACTGAGAAGGAAATGGAGGTAGAAATGAAGAATGAGACAGGGTAAAGAGGGAGAGAGAAAGTGAGAGAGATACTTTGATTTCCTTGCAGAGAGTCTTACATTGACCTCCTAACTTTCAGAAGTATACAACAGAAAAATTGTACTGGTTCAAGTGACCAAACTTCTGCGAATTTGTTATAGCACCATCCAAAAGTTAATATCAACCTTTGAGGTAATTTATCAGCTACCTTTTCAGGATTAACAAGGTAGATAGCCTTTCTAAATTCTGTATGACAGAAATCGTAAAGGACACCATGAGGGATTACGTCTCTGATCTCTTTATTCCTCTACTATTACACAGGCTGGCAGAGCTAATCTTGTCACCCCCATGTTCTGCCTTATATCACAGGCCCCAAGGGCAGCTTTCAATCAATACAGTATTGCAAAAGAAGAATTAAGACCAAATCCTCATGTTTGGATGAAAAACAACTAACCCTGACTTAGCTCTCCTTCTGGAAATGTGTTTGGGAACTTCACAATATACTACACATTGTAAAAACGTAATTATTCTAAAGAAAATATAAATTTTAATAGTATCTACCAAACTATCCTAGTCCTGACATAATCCCAGGGTTCTTTCTAGATGACTCTCTTTCATAAGGTCAATGAGAACAAGACAATATGGTTGGAGATCCCTCCACTCAAATTCACTCTTTTCTAGGTTCCATTCTAGCCACGAATTTACTTGTATTGTGTCCTCAAGTAAATACTGTAATTCTCATGAGCCTTGGCCATTGCCTCTGAAAAGTGAAGAATAAAGAGATCCATTTTTCCAAGGTTTTCTCAGAAATACTGGATGCCAAATCTTTGGGAAAGGTTACAACAACTGTATTCATTTGGCTTAAGTCTGAAATAAGACTCATAAGGAATATGATTTTCTAAAAGTATAAGTCTAAAGAGATTTCAAATCCTCCTGTCAGCCTGACTGTCATCCCATGGTGGCCCTGTTGCATGTGATAGAAGAAAGCTATTCTCAAGAGCTGTGGTAAGAGCACAGCTTGTTGTTCAACATTCGTTTCTGTGGTGATATGTTGTGTACCCTAATAAACTTGCCTGGGGATCAGAGGACAGAGCCAGCCACTAGATTAGACATAGAGGCCAGACAGTGGTGGCACACATACATACTGGGAAACACACATGCCTTTAATCCCAGAAAGTGACAGCAGGATGGAGAAAGTTATATAAGGTGTGGGGAAACAGGAACTAAGGTAGTTCAGCTGAGATCCTTTCAAGTGAGGATTCAGAGAACTTCAGTTACAAGATTCGTGGAGTTGGTGAGGTAATAGGTGGTAGCTGTGGCTTGCTTTGCTTCTCTAATCTTTCAGCTTTCACACCAATATCTGGCTCCAGATTTTTTAATTAAAAGACCATCTAAGATTCGCACAACAGGTTTTAGTACCTCGTATGTTACCTGTGAACACAGCTATGCTTATTTCATCCACCAAGCAAATCCATTGTCTCTACTTTGGAAATATCCACTACCTGATCACTCTGACAAATGTCTAGCCTGAGGCCTCAGTGTCTTTCAATCACCCTTTTGCTGTCATAGAGCTAAAGGCTGCATTCAGAGACCAGAAAACCCCTTTAAACATAAATTACAAGGGCTGGTATATAGCTCAGTAGTACAGCACTTGCCTGGCATGTGGCAGGAAGCTTAGTTCAAACTCTAGTACTTCACAAACAAACAAAACATAACATTCCTCACTCCAACTTGTCTACTCAAAACTCTATGATTGCCCATCTGTCATCATTCAAACCCCAAGACCCTAATTGGGACTTGTCATCTTCTACACTCTGATGCCTTCATTTACTGAATGATTTCAGCAGTTAACAATGCCCCTTCCTCATGCCCCAAGCTTAAGCCACACTGGGTTATTTTCTTTTCCTTCTCCAGACACACATGCCTCGGAGTCTTTTCATTTACTCATCTCTCTACTCCAAATGCACTCAGACAGCAGATGGCAGCTGCCTTCCTTACCTTCTTCATCTCTCAAAGTGTGTGTACTTTTATCATCATAAAGCTACTTTGCATTTGAACTTTTCACTCTCCTCAGTACCTAGCTATTTTCTATGTACAAATTTCTCAACAACATGACCTCTTCTGATTTTATGTCTTCTTTAATCTTTTTATAACCCATTGAATCCAATTAGTGCTGTCTGTATTTACATGGTTGGGGGATATCCACTGGAACACTTATTGTTGTCTGTATTTACATGGTTGGGCGCTATCCATAGGCAACCTACAGTGACCATACACCAAAAGTAAAATGTCTCCTCTCCATCAACATCCATCAATGCCAATAACTCTTCAGCTAGAGGGATGCCTCATAAATTCCCCACACTCACCCATACTGGAGTTTTGACTGACAGGTATCATATAATTACTAATATGTGCTGTGAGTTCATGGGGACAATGGCTGGTTCATGTCCAGAAGAGAGCATTTCATAGCACTCCTCTCATTCTGTATCTCTTACATTGCTTTAGCTTGCTCTTCTGTAACAGTCCATGGACCACAGAGGGGCTGAGGACACCAATTATCTTCAACACTTCATCCAGTTATAGGTCTCTTTATTAACCACTCTCCACTACAAACAGAAACTTCTCTGACCAAGCCAGAAAGCAGCCCTAATCTGGAGGTTTCAAAAGCTAGCTGCCTGGGGGCCCACCCTTAAAGCTCTTCAGTATCAGGACAGGGATCCAAGCAGCAGGGATTGACTCCCTCATCCTCCTGTATCTACCTTTCAGGGTTGCTGTTTTGTGACAGATCCTGTGCAAAACATTCTTTGAATGGTGTTTTCTTCAAGCCACATAACAGACCCACAAGTCACTGCTATTTTCATCTCCATTTAGCTTATGAAGAAATGGGTCTTAGGAGGGTAAATCATACTCTTAATCACACAGCTAGTCAATGATAGGATGGCCATGGAAACACAAGCAGTATGGCTCCAGAGTTCATAAACCACGAGAGACCTCTACAGATAAATCATGACCTTAGCTAGCTGACTTATTCATCTCTTTCAGACACTACCACTGCTTCCATTTGGTAGATTGAGACACTTAAGCGTAGATGAGTCATTGATCAGCTGGAGGCCACAGAACTGTGAAGGGCCACAGCCCAGGGAGGACTTAGGTTTGTGAAGCACAAGGAGGCCTGCCTATTATGGGGATCCAGGGCAAAGGAATAAATGGGGGCCATATACCTGCACTCAACACTCCTTTTCTCCATGAAGCTAACCAGAACATAACACATTACATAGGTTCTGTCCTGTGTGAACAAATAGCTTCAGAATAGCCTCAGCTCTGGGCACAGATTAAAAGCTTAGGGGCGTAGAGGCTGATGCAATGAGGACACTGGGCCCGAAGTCCTGTTCCATTCCCATCTTTCCATGGCCACCCAATGTGGACACGACTCCAGGGGATTTTCTAATGTGTCATCAGCAGTTCAGGAGCAGTTGTGTCATGTACTTCCTATTGTGGCCATGCTTCCTGGCCACAATAGGGAGGCAATGTCTGAGCAAAGGATATTCACAACAGGGGCAGAGCCCAGGATAGGGGATATTGCATGGGTGCAAGAAGATTTAACTTCCAACTTATGCTTTCATCTACTAGGCTACTCTACCATTCCTTCTCATGGGCAGGAACAAGTGTTGGTCCTTTTCCTGATTCAACCATTGGGTCATTACTTATGACATATATATTTAAGTTAGTGTGTGCATAAACACTATCCATGCCTCTTCCGCTGTGTTGGTTCCCATCAATCAAATTGCTCATAAAGAAGAACTTGTTGATTTTCTGGCAATGTATTATGCTAATACAGCCCCACCCAGTGTACCTTAACACATCACCAAAATGTCTGATGATGTACTATACCATCCAATTGCTGCCTTCCCCACCCTTTAGCTCTCGGGTTTTTTGTTTTTAGTTTGTTTTTAACTCACTTTCAATTGGGAAGCCATTGACTTTCCATTTGATTGTGGGTTGAGGTTCTCCTTCCGCTTCACACAACAAGATGCCGTTGCTCCCCGTGCTGTACACTGCACTCTGAGGTTTCTTTTTCCAGTGTGGAGGCTCTGAACACAATACAAAGAGATTTTCAGAAAGTGTATCCATAGCAAAAGAGCCGATCTCTGTAACAGGCCTGCATTTCCACCATATACCAGCAGAGGGCAGACACCACAAAGTATTCCACAGCAACTCTTTTGGTTAGGTTCTGCAAAGGTGGGCGTACTCTGTGTGTGTGTGTGTGTGTGTGTGTGTGTGTGTGTGTGTGTGTGTGTGTGTGTGTGTACTTACATTACACTCTGAACATGTATATAAATCAACATACTAAAAATACACAGCCATTTTAGCTACTCAAGTATACATTTCACTAGCGGAAGCATGACGGAGGACTAAGCAGATGGTAACTCATTTAGGGCTGGCTACTGTTCCTACTCAAGCTGCAACAAAGTAGCTGGAAATGTTGATATGCAAGAAATAGACTTGAAGAGCTTTTTAAATAACAGTCAAATTTGCAAAATCTTGTTCCTTGATTATTGACTGCAGCATTTACATATCCTACCTATACCAATTTCCATAACTTATCAACTTGGAAAACATAATTTTCAAGAGATGTTCTCCTTGCAAAGGGGCAGGGAGAGAACCTGAGAAGAACATTTGATTTTTTTTTTTTTGCTTTTGAAACAATCGGAAAAAACAGAAATAAATGATCTTTACATTTTTATACATAAAACTTCAAATGTGTAACTCTAATTGGAGTATTAGAACAAAGCAAGACAAGTTCTTCAGTTTAAACTGTCATATTTTGTCAACACCAGAGTAGCACTATGTCAACAGTGAATGCAAGACTTGAGGTGAGCATAGATATTATTATTATTATTATTATTATTATTATTATTACTACTACTACTACTACTACTACTACTATTGGCGTTCTGCCTGTATATATGCTATTATCAGTTTCTTGGATGCCTGGTGCCTGTAGAGGCATCAGACCCCCCTTAGCTGGAGTTACAGATAGTTGTAAGCTACCATGTTGATGCAGGGACCTAGACTTGGGACCTCTGAAAGAGAAGCCAGTGCTCTTAACCACAGAACCATTGCTCCAGACCTACTTGCATGGTTGATGATTATTCTCAGAAGTAGCTTAATAAAACTTTGAAGTAGTAATTCCCATCAACTTTAGCTTAGTCATTTTCCTCCAAAAACTGTGGATTTCTGTCTTGATTCAATGAGGAAATCTTTTTTAAGATATGTACATGTGTACAGAGAAAATATCTTTTAAATGGTTTTAGTAAAGGAAGGAAAGGGTATTATACAGGAAAAAATCCAAATTCATCAAAAAGAAAACACACACACACACATGTAATTCTGGCAAGTCTCTGTAAGCAAGCGACATGCCTTTAGAGTCTTCTACAAGATGTAGGCTCAATTGTTAATTTCAATGTTAAACACCTGTGTTTAACAGACTAATCTAAAAATATTGAGGTACTTAGCATAAAGTACAATGGTCTAAATTAGAACTGTAGATCACTTTCTGAAGGGAAGAGTGCCTTTATGACATTATTATTTTAAATATTTATTTTTATTTGTATGTGGGATGTATGTGTCCTTTCCTTTTAAACATCCACCCCCCTTGGTCTTCTTCTTTTTTTTTTTTCATTTTTCTTTATTAAGAAATTTTCTACTCACTCCACATACTATCCACAGATCCCCTCTCCTCCCTCCTCCCACCCCCCAGCCCTTTTTTCCCAAGCGACCCCGCAACCCCACATCCCCCAAATCGAGGTCTCCCATTGGGAGTCAACAGAGCTCAGCACACTGAGCCTAGGCAGATCCAAGCCCCTTTCCACTGCACCAAGACTGTGCAAGGTGTGACACCACAGGCACCGGGCTCCAGAAGCCTGCCCATAGACCAGGGACAGATCGCGAACTCCCTGCCTTGGTGCCCCCCCCCAAACAGTTTGAGCCAAACAACTGTCTTTCGTATCCAGAGGGCCTAGTCCAGTCCCATGGGGGCTCCCCAGCCACCAGTCCACAGTTCATGGGCTTTCACTACGCTGGTCATCTCTGCACGTCCTCCCATCATGATCTCGATGTCCCTCACCTGCAGTATCTCTCCTCTCTCTCATCAATTGGATTCCCGGAGCTCAGTCTGGTGCCTGGCCATGGATCTCTGTATCTGCCTCCATTTGTCACTGGACAAAGGCTCTATTATGACAGCTAGGTTATTTGCTAGGCTGGTCACCAGAGTAGACTGGTCCCGGCACCCTCTGAACCACTGCCAGCAGACCAAGGTGGGGTCAACCTTGAGAGGGCTGATCTCCAAAGTATATAAAGAACTCAAAAAGCTAGACATCAAAATACTGAACAATCCAATTTAAAAAATGGGTTACAGAGCTTAACAGAGAATTCTCAGCAGAAGAATCTCAAATGGCTGAAAGGCATTTAAGGAATTGCTCAACATCCTTAGTCATCAGGGAATGCAAATCAAAACAACTCTGAGATACCATCTTACACCTGTCAGAATGGCTAAGATCAAAAACACTGAAGACAGCTTATGTTGGAGAGGATGTGGAGAAAGGGGGCCACTTGGTCTTCTTATATAACCATAACAAAATTCAACTTGTAAAAGTTACAGAGAAAGCCCAATGAACATGCAAACCATTGTGTTCACAGTAGAAACTATGACTCCTCCTTTCCAAGTGTGTAAAAATAATGATCCTCTCATGAAAATATTCTTTCATTCCCCTTGTATAATAAAAATCAATTTTTCAATCACTATCCTCAGCCCAAGAATTGCATTAACCTTTGTGTGTGTGTAAAGATATATTACTGCTAGGATCAAATGAAGAAGTGAGGTATCACCTCATCTAACCTTTGACCCTATGGAAATAATATTGAGTTTTGGAGAATTCATCTATTTTTTTTTCAGGGTTATCAGTGAAAGAATCCTCATTTCCTGTTCCTGCCGCTCTATATATCTCAGAACAGAGCCTTTGGGGAATGAACAGAGAAATGCAAAGGTGTGGAGGCTGTTCCTTACCCACTGACATTTTACACAAGAAACTAGGAATCAAGGTCAGTTCAGTTGTCCAGTTGAGTCTTTGCATTGAGTCTTTGCATTTCCAGCATCCCCTATCCCCATATCTACCAACTGACTCATGAGGTCTCAAACATTTGATAGTTGGTTAGAATCATCACTATACATTAGCCTGGCCCTTCTTCCTAGGCTTTAAGAACTCTCCCACATTTCTGTAGATGCTTCTTTCCCTTTTTTTCCCTTAAGCTTCTGATTCTAACACTGATATTGACATGAAACTTGAAAGAGACTTAAAACTTGTCTATGACTTCATTATATCCAGCCCAGGCTGAAACTCTCACTGTTGACTTCATTAGTTGATTATTCAGTAGTTCAATACTGAAGTCTGCACTGAGTGTCCTTAGACTAGTGATCTCTGGAGAGCCAGGGTTGAAGCCTGCTGTTTTGTTTCTTCCTGGTATGGCACACTGGCTCAGAATAGATGTGTAGAGTGGGCTTTTATACAGAACTTTATAACTATCTAAAAACTTCAGTGGAAAAGACATAAAAAAAAAAAAACCCTAAAGCATCTTGGATGGAAAATAATCCATTCTGTCTGGTCATTCTCTCTCCTACGACACAGATTTAATGAACATATTGTTTAACAGATACTTGGTTCACAAAAGACATTATTGTCAGCCTGTAGACAGTAGCTTGATGAGAAACTCAGGGTGGCTGAGATGCAGGGCCGGAGAGTCAGCAGAAGTTTAGGGAAGCTCACATCACACATCTGTGTGATGAGTAAGATCTAGTCAAGGAGATTACAGAGAGACTAAAGATAAAGGAAATGATGAGGAAACCAGAAAGTGTAGGGGAAGAAGCCACAGGGTCCCATTCTTTTATCTGCATGCTTAAGATATGTGGTAGCTGATAAAAAGTTCACCCAAATTTTGTATGTTCATGGACTCTGGACTGACAGCTAGGGAACCTGCACGGGACTGAGACTGAACTAGACCCTCTGAATGTGGGTGACAGTTATGTGACTTGAACAATTTGTGGGGCTCCTGGCATTGTGACCAGGATTTATCTCTAGTGCATGAACTGGCTTTTTGGAGCCCATTCCCTATGGAGGGATACCTTGTTCAGCCTTGATGCAGGGGGGATGGACTTGCTCCTGCCTCAACTTGATATGCCAGACTTTGTTGACTCCCCTTGGGAGGCCATACCTACTCTGAGGAGTGGATAGGGGGTGGGGTAGAGGTGAGGTATGGGGGAGGGGAGGAGAGGAGGTTGGGGGAACTGTGGTTGGTATGTAGAATGAAAAAAAAGTTCACCCAATTAGTCATAATGGTCAGCAAAATGCAAGATGATAAATTCAATTTATGCTGTCCCAAACAGAGATGTCAGTGCATGAATTCTGACTTAATAAGAATTCTAATAGTTTATCAAGAGACCAAAACCCAAGCGCAACTGGAAATTTGATATCTATGAAACATGTAACAAAGTAGACATTTTCTTAGTAAAACATTGTTTTTAATCACAGATGTCTACTTACTATTTGTATTCTTGATTTTTGTGAGACAATGTCTCATGTATAGCAGGTAGGCCTCTGTTTGGTATGTAGCTAAGGATGACCTTTAACTGTGGATTCTCTTGCCTCCAATTCCCATGTGCTAGGAATACAGGAAGGCACCACCAGACCCAGTTTATGTGTGCTAGGGATTGAACCAGGGGCTTTGTATACATTAGGTAAGCATTCTACCAACTTCTTAGGAAAAAAAGTTATTAATTCAAAACAAGCTATTGTCCATGGTATCAATGATTAGACTGAATTTCAGTTCATGGTATCTTTTAGGTACTGCAGGGCACTATGGATAGAATTAAGGATTGCGTAGATGTGCAAAAATGATTGATATTATATTTCTAAAATTCAGCAATCTGAAATGATTCCAAAATGGACAATATAAATTTTTTTGGTGAGGGATTTTTCTTTTACATTATCAGTTTAAGTGTGACTGATATTCTGATGTCTGGAATTTTGTTTTATGTGACATTCGTATGTATCTGTTTTCTTTATTATTATTATTTGAGTGTGTGTCCACACCACAGTGTACCTGTGGCAGTTAACTTTATAGGGTCAGTTCTCTCCTTTCTTCTTTATGTAGATTCCAGAGATAGAATTCAGGTTTGCTGCAAGCCCCTTTACCCATTGGGCCATTTCACTGGTCCTTACTATACCTCTTAGTACTGTATATATAATAATCCATATTGTAGGTGCCCAGAAAATATGGTTACATCTAATTAAGACATCACAGCTGTTTTTCTCATGCAAAATAAGGCATTTGACTTGCAATCTGGTCACATATTTAGGCTGCTGTAGTTTAAAGTACAAGCTCATGAAATTTGAGTTTCAGAATAGGGAAGAAAATCACAAACAGAAAAGAAAACAAACTATGCTTCTGCATAGCCACGTAAGATATTTTCATAATGGTCTAGACTCTCACAGTACATGGTAGTACTGCTTTTCCCCCATATGACTGATTTAATTTGGGTTTCTAAATGAAAGAATGAAAAGAAAGAGAAAGACACAGGAGACAAAAGAAAATGTACAAAGGTGAACTCATCTCTCCTGATGATTAGTGAACTTTATTGTTACTGTTTTTTCATTTTAGGGAGGAAAACACTTCTTGAATGGATTTCTTGAAGACAGTCCACTGTTCCCATGCAGGTGTAAGGAGAAGCTGAAATATGCTTCTAAGTGTACCTTCAGCATTTTCTCACAAAAGCGAAATGATAAAAACAATATTTACATCTCCACACCACTAATACCTGTTTTACAAATAGTGAAGATAATTTGTTCAAGAAACCTATATCCCTTTGGAATCCTATAGTCAACATTTTAAGTTGTATAATTAATTTTACTTGTATAATATTTTTGCAACATTTGCAATTCTTTTGAAAGCTTTGGTCTTAATAGTCAAGAAAACCGAGGCCAGATTGTTAAAATATTCAGCTACCGTAGCAACGCAGCAGCCATCTGGAAGGATTTCTAACAGTCAGCAACTCGGAGTAGAAGCGGCTAATAATTATGTATGTCTGGTTTGAAAGAGAGGGAGAGAGAGAGAGACACACACACACACACACACACACACACACACAGAGAGAGAGAGAGAGAGAGAGAGAGAGAGAGAGAGAGAGAGAGAGAGAGAGAGAGCCTGAGTTGGGCTAGGAGCTAGGGAAAATATCCCCACCACAAGATATAGCCACATTATATACAAGTATCAGATAATGTCTAAAATTAGAGACATGTCTTTCATACTTTTTCTCTGAATGTCTTTTTGAATAATTTATTGTCAGAGGAATCTATTATTATTGCCAGATGTTGATGCTAATGTCTAACACTGAGTTCTCTCCAAATAGGTTTTGCTTTGTGAACCAAAGAAAATTAATTGCCCTTTTTTATGTTCTGTTCTCACCTTAACTAAGAAAATAGTATAGAAGGGGTTGGGAAATTGTGTTAGTCCAAACAGGAGCATGACTCAGTCAATTGCTGTAACATTTACTTGTGAGTGAAATTTGTGCCTTGTTTCTTTTCTTTTCCAGTAATTATGGAGGAAAAGTCATTACTGAAGTGCTCTTTGCACAAACTGAAGCTTTAAAGGATGAACTTTATCAGAATATTAATGGAGAGCCTATAGCTCCTGTTCATGAACCAATAGCCTGGGAGAGATGATTCTCTTCCATAGTTAAGGCAACACAGCACTAAATAAGTACAAATGTACTATTTAGAGACTACTCCCTTCTTCTGATTGATACAGTTAAGCAAACCACAGAAAGACTAGGTGTGACTTGACGACTCAACCCACAGAAAGCAGTCTGTGTCAATCAAATCCCAGCAGGATCAGGCAACCTCCGCACCTGCACTACAGGCACAGCTCTGATTTCTAATTATGTGGCTGCTACTTCATGAGAGTGATGTCATCATCACCTACTTATTAATTACAACAAATGACAGAAAATCTCAATTGTTCAAAAAAAAAAACCAAACCAGTTCAGTTTTATGGGCAGATGAAAGTAATGTATTTTGGTATCATTTGATAAAAATTAATATATACATCATATTTCCCTCCTTATAGTTCACTGTAAGAAGCATACTGAATACAGGGTACAGAACAAAAAATGCTGGAGCGAGGGTAACGCTAAGATAATCCATCTGACTATCATTGCTTTGACAAAGAACCCGAGGAAGAGAAAAACGAAGCCCAGTGATCATGGGTAAAGGAGCTGAGTGACAAGATTAGGAAGCACTCCAAACCTCCTTCCAGGGTCTTTGCAATAATGTTTAATTTAATGATCATGACCTCATTTATGAGTGTCATGCGTGCATTATAATAAAAATCATTTCATGCAATAAAACCTTACAGGAGGGTAGGTTTAATGACCATTTAAACAGACCCTGGAAGTCATGTATGTTCAACCCCTAACATGAGGCATTTGTGCCTTCCATACGGTTTGGGGAAATAAATTACAAGCCTGATTAATTAAGTATAGTGTCACTCAGTGACCATACTACACCCAAAACCCTAAACTAATGATCAACTTCGACACATACACTGTTGAGGCAAAGATCTGTGAATCGTATAAACTTAATTTTCTCTTTGAAGCATAAATTTAAATCTTAATGGGGAACATACCTTGAACTATGATATGAAAATCATGACTGGCTTTTCCCAACAAATTGTTAGCTGTACAGCGATAATTTCCTTTGTCATGGTAGGAGATGTTTTCTATCTTCAATGTCTTTCCATAATTTTCTTTTGTTTCTCTTCCCTTTGGTAATTCACTACCCAGTTTGCTCCACTCGACCTGTGGAGTTGGTCTGCAAAAAGTATGATGAATGCATAGATAAATAAATACCAACCACAAACAACCCCTCATGGCACATCTGTTACCATGTTGCCTTACATAGTCATTGAGTTTTAGCAGCCTTACCAATGGACACATCACCATGGGAAGCATAGTGTTGAACAAGCATATTTCATCAGGAGCTCCTTTAATGGTCTACTCCCTAGGAATCTTGTCCCCTCTATTAAGCGAGCTAACTTCACATGAGTGCAAAATCAGTGAAGCTGGATGCAAGATGAATAACTGAAGTCCAAATAAATAATATTACAAGATGTTTCTCAAGTGTGAAATTCTCCCTATGGTCAGAGATCAACAGATCCCCTTCCCTGTGTGACTTTCAACAACATGACACAGTAGTCTCCAACAGCCAGCAGAGGAAAACCACAATTTCCGTTGAATCCTAATGAAGCCAATTTTGGCTAAAGTGGCTTGGGAATGGAGCCAAGTACGTGGGCTGGACGTAGGAGCACTTCTTTCATTCTAGGCAGCTTGGAGCTCCCAGCACAGACCTTGCTTTCCCGCTCTGTGGGGAGCAGAGGAAAGGAGACAAGAACTCAGAATCTCCCTAATTCAGGAGCATGAGAGAGATGGGCACACAAGATCAAAATGAACAAAAGCCAAACAAAAGGCAGGGCTAACCTTGTCATATGCCAAAACCTTTCTTCATCTTACAGTGAAGGAAAACAGGAGCATGAACCAAGCCAAATGGTTTGTGGAAAAATCTCTTCTAAAAATGAGGGTGAAAAAATGACATCCTATGACACTTGACTTTATAATGTCACTGATAACCAACTCTAAGTGGTCATAACTTTGTTTTTTCCTCCTACAAGATTGGAAAACACATAATTCTGTTATTTACCATATTCCTGGTTACTAGTTACTAATCTGAGAACTATCTGAGAGTGAGCTATCTTACTGTTATAATTTTACCAGTGTCAAATTGAAGCTCCAAGAAGCTAATTAAATAACACATTGATTCAAAACTTAACATTTTTCTTAGTTGTTTCTATTTGCTTTCTGCTTTTCAAGGAATCCATCCTTCCTAACATATGCTTGTGGTCAAACTATCCATCGGGAGCCAACTAAATAATAATAAAAATTTTCAAGATTTATTTATTATAATTTTATGCTTATGGGTGTTTTGTCTGCATGTATATATGTGCAATACACACACATCTGGTGCCCATGAGGGCCAAATAGGGCATTGGATCCCCTAGAACTGGAGTTACAGATGATTGTAAATGACCATGTGAGTTCTGGGAATTGAATCAGGTCATCTGCAAGTGATCTTAACTACTGAACTATTATCTCTAGCCCCAATAATTAAATTATTGTCTCAAATTGTTTATTTCAGTTATTTCAAAATACCTATTCATAAAGAAAATGGATAAAATAGCTCAATTATTAGGAAACACTATATTGAAGTTAAAGATGAGGTCTTTTTACAAACATCTGTTATTTTCTCTCAAGGCCAAAGGAATTAACCTCACAGATTTGAAACAACAACCTGCTTTTTGACCAAGCCCAGAGTACATGGGAGACTTCCTCAGGAAATGGTCATTGCAGACAGATAGTCGCATGGGGGAGTATATTGATTAGCTGCTGAATTCTAGAGAGCATGCCACCAAGCAGTACTTGGAGTCCAAGTTTCCTACCTGCTTGCCTTTTAGACCGTCTGTCAAAATGGCAATCTGCCAAGTGACAGGCTGCCCCGGACCTTAGTTCCTCCTAAACAGATTTTTATGAGTCTGTGCTTTAGCAATGCATCTTGCTTTCCTCAAATTCTTCTTTTACTGCTGGTCTTGAAAACAATCATTTGTCTAACACTCTTTACTCCATACAATCAAATTAAATGATTTTAAAATAGAGAAACCTGACATCACAAGTATGGGTAGTTTATACAGCTAGAAGAATTCCTACTGTATTCTCCACAGTTCTGATTTGTTTGTTTGCTTGCTTTATTTTTAAGGAGCACTTGCTAACAGACCCTGAACAAGGTTGGTTGAGGGAAAATGTGTTATTTAATGCTTTTTTTTTTGCACACCAACATACATTATTTTATAACTTCAAATATTTATGCCAGTTCTTATGTGGGTAACTTTTCTTCTGATTCTTGATTAAAAATGTAGGATTCACAGATATCATATGTGCTTAAATTCATGATGAGTTTGTTCTTATTTCACACAGTATGAATGTGAATTATTAAAGCACCACCCTCTCCCCACTGACAATAAGATGGCAGGAATGTGAACACCGCATGAGAGTCAAAATATCATTTAACTCTACCCCATCTTCAGGAATCTATAAACGCTAAGCTTTCCAACTTGTGTATCTCTCTGGAAGCTTCCCTGACATAATTAATATCAACATTTGTGTGTGTGTACGTGTGTGTGTGTGTATGTGTGATACATGTGGCGTGTGCTTACAAGTGCATAAGAGCACAGGCCAGAGGAGAGTGTCTGGTGTCCTTGGTGTCCTGCTCTACCACCTCTACCACTTGTCACCTTCTTCCTCCCACTGCTAGGGTCACAGGTTTCCAGCCATGTCTGACTTTGCAAGTGAGTGCTGAGGACTCAAACTCAGGTCCTCATGCATGCACAGAAAGCATTCTTAACTGACAGCACAAACGTTTTTAATATCATTATTTTCTTAAATGTGTACTTTATGTAACCGCCTCAGAGCAGATGCGGTGCTCCTGTTTACCTTGTTTAAACCGAAAGGGTTTATTTGGTTAAAACACGTTGGTGTTTGTTACGCGTAGAGGAGGTTAAGGTTTGGGTGCCCAAAGGGTTGAATGAGCCAGGTTCCATTAGCTTGTAATAGCGTTTTTCTTCAGTATGAGCTCTGTGGGCTTCATTTGCCTAACCTGCATGTGGGAATGACTACAGCCAGGGAATGCTGGGAGGCAACGTGAGTCATGGATGTACAGGACAAAATATTAACACAATGGTCAGTGATTTTTTACTTCTGTTACTCTAGAATGCATGTGATTTTAAACTTCCTCGAGATATATATGACATCCTTCAAAAACCTTTTTTTTGACAGTATTGCCTCCATTTAAAGGAAGACCAAATGAACAAATAGTCCAACTCAAACCAATTAGGAGGGGGAAGAACCCTTTCTTATGAAAGAGTATCAGGAATCTTCATGTTACAAAGGCAAACATTTCTTACGATGTCCATTTTCTTCTTCTATGTGCATTCCCAACACTCTGGTCTCTACAAGGCACATGTTTGTTTTTTTTGTTTTTGTTTTGTTTTGTTTTGTTTTGTTTTGTAAGTGGAGGATGATCTGAACAGATGCCAACCCCCTCGGAAAGCAAATGACAGTGTTGGCAGGAGATGAGGGGAAAGAGTCCCTAAAAGGTTTGCCTGACCCTCGGAGTTAGCCTGACCAGTGACAAAGCCTGAAAGAATTTGATTTCTACCACACTCTAAATACATGCTGATGCCAGGTGGATAAACATAAGTTACAGCAGATGGGAGGCTTTGACCTTCTCACATAAGAGACAGACCAGGGCTAGAGAGGAGGCTTAGCAGGTAGGAGCACTTTGTCCTGGCAGACGACCTGGTTTTAATTCCCAGCATCCATGTAGTGGTTCATAACCTCTGAAACTCCTCTACTGCCTTTTCTTGCCTCTGTGGGCACTGCACACATGTAGTGCACAGACATACCTACAGTCAAAATATTCATGCATATAAAATAAAAATAAATCTTAAAAAAAACACACAAACACACAGATACCAAACTTTCTCCATAGAGGTCATGTGACAACATATTGAAATAATTTATCACTTAACACTGGTGATTTAAGGCTGATAAGTAACCTGGCTGGAAAGAGAAATGTGAAAAGTTTAGAAGTTGTACAATAATTAAAATAATTCCTTTGCTCCACAATCTAACTTAAAACAGGTCATTCAGACTTTTCACTGAATTATAAACAAAGGTGGATTTTACTTTTTACTTTTAATAACTAATTAATGTAACACAATTTAAGACATTTCAAATCCTAGTTGATTAAAGAGACTCTCATTACTTGCACAATAATCAAATCTCAAATTAATAAACTGGAAGATGAAATGCCTTTCTCCCCAGCATTCCCAATGGGAGACTGTTAAGTCAGTGGGAATACTTGTAGAATAGGTGAACTCATATGACCATGGCTCCAGTCACATAAATGTACAATAGTTGCTCAGCTAAGGCAACAATTTTAGGAGATGACAACATGTCAACCCTTTGGTGGCTTTGGTGGAAGAGCTGAAACAGGGCAGTGATCTTGGAGATATGAGGAAGTGTTAGTCAACCAGTTTTGATGTCCCCTAATTTCATGATCTGGACCTGCTTTTGCAGAAAACACAGAATCGGAAATAAAAATAAATAGAGGCCTTTGGAAATTAAAAAAAAGAGAGTAATGTAATAGGCTGGCACAAATGAAGAGATTCTAATAAGACTATCAAACCAATGAAACAATGGACCCCAAAGAAATGAGAATTTCTCTAGGAATCTCAAGCTGGGAGAAGGAAAAGAGGCAGTCAGAGGGGGAACTTCTCTCCCCTGAGAAGAAATTTCACATAGTTCTAACAACTTGTCATCCTGCGTTACAGTATGAGATTGAAGTTCAGACAATGCTTGATGAGTCAGCAGTATGTGGGGCCACACCTTGCTGGGATTTCTTCAATGTGCTCATCCTTAGATCTCCATTTAAACTTGACTCTCACTTCAGGATAGGAAGACAGACCCAGGAGGGATCTCCAGATCCTTTTATATCTCTTCAAAATATGGGCACATTGAGTTAATCTTCTTTTCTGTTTTTCTCTATTAATTTGACTCTTTTAATCAGCCTATTGGGGATGGGCAGCTGGACATGGCTTGGGGCACAGGTTGTGACCCTCTCTAAGTACTATAACAGTGGAGCTAGTGCCCTGTAAACCAGGGTCCGACAAGAGAATAGAGAAGAAAGAAAATGCACGACTTAAGGGCTTAAGGGCAGAGGGAGTGCCTACTAGTGCACACGCTCTGAGGACAGCACTTAGAATATCTACTTCACTAAAGTTCTCCTTGATCCCTGAATTCCACAATAAAAAGAGATACTGATAAGTCAATTTCAGTTGTAGCCTGAAGTCTGCATAAAAAAGCACAAATTAGTTTCTCCAGTGAAACAGGAAGAGGGTTTATATTTTTAAAAAGAGTAACTTAAGAGCTTGCATGTAGCAAAAGTCTTGATTTTGCAGTCTTTAAAACACTGTATGGGGGAAGGCCAAGGTACTCACAGGCCTTCAGCAAAACATTCAAGCAACAGGGTTTCCCCTTTGAGGACAGTCATTGTGGATGCACTACCACTCTCAGCAGGAGGCAACAGAAGTTTGGGTTTCCTTTGCTTGATTGAATTTGCTGGAAAAGAAAAAGGAGGAGTCAATTCCCTCTCGAATAAAGATAGTAAACATTCTATGGTGCTAGACTGTTCTTTAAAAATGACTTCACATCGTTTTATGTATACATCTCTGTGTGCTGCTTCCTAAACAGATTCTCTCGTCCAAGACATGCATCCAAGGAACCAGGTGTCTTTCAATTTCTTTACCAACTTTTCTAAATGTCACAACGTATACCACCTGTTCTTTTTTTCAGAAAGTGAAGCCTTATTTAAGACAATTTCTTGAAGACACCTTCAAGTTAACCGATAGTCTGACTTTGTACTCTATAGTTTGACCATACCTTGTTATTTTTGATGATTATGTATGTTTATTTAATTTATTGATCTAAGTATTGGATAGTATACCTTCTAAAAAACACAGCTTCCTGGGGTACTTCCTTGAGAATTCAGACCGAGGAAACTTAGAGTAAACACAAGGCATCTATGAATTTATTTAGTGTCAGAAAGTTCTTTGTAGTCTCAGACCCTCAAGGATACACACTGTTTTAGGAAATGATTCATAGTAAGTCTCCCCACTAAGTAGAGACTGGGAAGCTTCATTTCTCCTTTTCTTAGTAATTTTAAAATATAATGGCAAATTAAGACACTTCATTCATACTACACTTTGATATCATTTCCAAATATTAACATAAATTGATTTTACAACCATTGCCAAGGTGATTTTATCTTTTGTGGAAAGACAATGAATACTGATCTACTATCAGAAGAATAAAGTGTAAAATATAGGAAACCATGTGCAGTCTGCCTTGCATTTCCTTGCATGTATTTATATATTAGAAATGACTTTTGAATTTGTAGTATATGTAATGTTCCTCTTTGTGCTCAAAGATTAAATATATATATACATATATGTAGAAGATTATATATATATATTAAAAACTGCATTCTTTCACAGAGTTAGAGTACATAGTGATTTATCAATTGTTTTGATAAGTCTTGCAAGTAAAATTAATTCACTTAACTTTCCTAAACCCAGTGTTTCTCTACTTTTCTTGATATTAACCATTTATTTTCTCTTTCCTTTTGTAAAGTTATCAACCTTTCATGTCATTTGTGAACTCTTAGGAGAGCCAAATTTATAAACACACACACACACACACACACACACACACACACACACACACACACGCACACACACACGCACACACACACATATACTTTTATAGATATACCTAAAACTACAGACACAAATTTATGTTAATTATATATGATTATACATTACTTGAAGAGATGACACACACACATATATCTACACATACACACAAACTCACACACACATGCATATATATATATGTCTATATCTTTGCTAAATTCTAAAATACAGTAGATCACAAAACTTTCTATACTAAAGGGTTACTTAACAAATATTTGCATTGTTTCTCATAAATTCTTGGAGTAAATAAAGGAAAAATTCAAACTGAGATGACAATGAATGACTAAAAGTAAAAATAAATGCCCAAATGCTTCACATGGACAACTTACCCTTGGAACTAATTTCTGTGGATGAACTTGAATCATTAGCATGCTTTACTGAAATAAAAAAAGATGGAAGAAACTAATACAAACATAATGGTAGATGCTAACATCAATAAAGTATGAAAAGACAAGGTCATGCATTTATTTCTGGAAAATTACAAAATGAAGTACAGCCATTCCATTTGCATAATGTCTATGGGACTATATATTCATACATATATATATATACACACAAATATATATATATATATATATATATATATATATTATATGGAGCTTAAACTTGAAGTTGTGAAGAGACAAGTGATAATTCTATTACAGAGACTTCAAACTACTGAAAGGCATCATAGAGAAGACCCCACACATCATATGACACAAGATAATGGAACAATCATGGACTAAATTAGACAATGAAATGGTCATGCTAAACTTCTGCTCGACCAGGGCCAATTACTCAGTCAGAAAGCTGCTAGGATTATTCTTTGCCTTTGATCTTACCACTTCACCTCCCACTAATTACTTCTCCCCTTTTGGGAATCCAGATATGCATGTGCAGATTCAAATAGGAAACAGAAAATCAATTCAGATAACTTTGTTAATTTGAGAAGGACAAAGAAAAAGGTTGATGTGATAAAAAATATAAATGGTGATTTTCTTTTGACTCAATTTTTGTCTCCTTCATTTTCAGCCTGATGATTTATCCAAGGTCACGGTGAGCCCATGCCTGAGATGTGCCTTATGCTCACTGAAAATGAGTAGATCCTGCAGACATCAAATGAAACACATTTGTACTGTGAATTGAGATTTGATTTTCTGGCTGCCAGAGACAGAGCTACTGTGGATGTGCAGCTGCAGATGCCTAGATTATCTGTAGGAAGTCTCTGGAGTTAAACAAAACAATGATAGAAAATGTCTTCGGAAAGAAGAATGAAATTATGCACATATTTGCATTCAGCATGAGTGAAGGAAGAATAAATCATTTGGACTTACAACTGTTCACAGTTAGTTTCATTGGCATTTTTTGTACAATCGTCCTTAATTTTGGAAATGCAGCAAAGCAACAGTAATCATTTCGACTGTCTTTTTCTTCCACATTTGCAAAGTACAGATCTCCCTTTTGGCTCATGTATACTCTTTCATCTTGTTCAATGTGTTCTAATTCTGCAAGGAAAAACAAAAGTAAAACCTTGTCACTAAAATGGGCTGCCCCTTCTCACAATGCTGCATCAGATTTTTACATTTCTATTTTTTATATAATTTATATTGTGATGTCTTCTTGTCTGTACTTCCTAGTTTTCTACAGTTTTTTTCTTACTGTAAGAGCAGTGGGCAAGAAAACAGCTAAAAAGAGGCAACAATGAAATCCTTGGAAGGCTAGAATCTCACAGATTTCCCAGCAGTTCAGTGTCCCTTCTCTCATTACCAATTGGTCTCTATCTTTGCTATGGCTTATCTGAAAAGTGTTCAGTTCTAATAACAATCCATTATTACTTTTATTTTCTCGGGATGATATTTCTCTGAAGCTGTGCTCCTCAAAAGTTTTGTATGAGCACCAATCACCCTGCATTGGAGGCAGTTGTGTAATTCTAGGATGAGTGAAGGATACAGATTTTGGCTGCAGACAAGTGTAGCTTCACTAATTCTCCTCTGGCTGCTTTACAAATATGATTTTTCTATGTAACACAATGGGAAAACACCCAGAGGGCTGTTATGAAGTATGTGACAGAAGAGGCTTTGTAAGAGGTTTCAGGAACCACCAAAGCACTTCAGAAGATGAATCACACAGGCTGACCCTGTTTATAGGCCATTGATTTTATCAGATAGAACTAAGAAAAAAGTGTAATACTAAACAAACAACAAACCCAAAACCCTTCAACTCTGACTTAGCCTGTGTTCCAAAGATAAGGACTGTGGAAGGAAGGTTTTTCACAGGTGTGTCCTATCATATGAATACTCCCCCTCCAAATACTATAAATCAAGGAATGTAATGATTTTTCTAGTGTCTTCATATATAGTTTATACTCAGGAGAGAGGGTGGAATTTCACATGTATCTAGTTTTGAAATCTACTTGATTCTACAGGATAGTCAATCACATATGAATGGTTGTTTTCATTATGTTACTTACATAGTCCATGGAATTAAAGTGACCCAGAATGGTGGACCAGAACATAACTTACCAATATTCATCCAATAGATATGCAAAGGTGGGAGGCCTTTGGGAGGGTTGCAGGGCAGGACAATGGAATCCCCTTCTTCCACATCCAAGGGTTCAATTTTTTCTTTTGGGAATTTTGGAACACCTGATAAAATGATCACCATGAGACATGAGACACAAGATATTCACTTTTAATGTAACCTTAATATTTTCTATGTTATTAATCACCAATGACATTTTTGTCATAAAAATGAGCAAGTAAGAAATTCAGCATTCCATGTCCTTTTTCTCATATCTATCTACAGATGCACACACTATTAAGAATATGGTAAGATGCAGCTGCCCCCAGACCTTCTCTTTCTGTTCCTCCAGTTCTAATCCCTGGGTCTCATCCCCAGCTCTACAGCAGAACAAGCTTTGTAGCAGAACACCCTTGGCAGCCTAGCCCACTCTCATCTCCCATAGTTCCCACAGATGTTACCCCTTCTAACTTTCCTCCCCAACTCCTACCTTTATCTCAGACCCCAACCACATCAGGCATGACCTGCTAATCCAAGGGCAACCCCTCCTATGGCAATAAGTAGGCAGAAGGCAGACCCACAATTCTCCTACTGCTCCTGAGATCCAACTGCCCCCCAACTCTCCACCAGCTTCATCTCCAATTCTGAAGCAGGAAATCTCTGGTTTCTCTTTCCTATCTCAACCCACTCCCAAGAGATCACAAATACCTTCTCCTCCACCCTTCCTTATCCAAATTTATCCCAGTATCCCAGCCTTCAATCCTGGAAAGCATTTCCTATGAACATACCACCCAACCAGGCCAGGAAAAACAGGCAACCCACAGCCATCACATCCTCTAAAAATCCAGGGAAGAAACAGAATCCAAGAAACAAAATACACCCAACAAGGACAAATCCAGAAATTATCACCTAGACTTATAACAGTACCAGATCCAGATGCCTAGACACCAGTGTAAAACACAGTAATAGGCAGGAAAATATGTCTTTACTGGAGTCCAGCTATCCTACCACATCAGGCCCTGAATATGCCAACATAGCTGAAACACAAGAAAAAAAACCTTAAAACCAAGTATATAAAGATGATAGAGTCCCTAAAAAGGAAATGAATAAGTACCTTAAAGAAATCCAGGAAAACACAGTGTGAGGAAATGAATAAATTCTTAAAATTTTTAAAATAAATTCTTAAAGAAAGCCAGGGTAACACAAAAAAAAGCTGGAGGAAATGAATACATCCCTTAAAGAAATCCAAGAAAACATAAACAATCAGTTGACATAAATGAATAAAATTGTTCAAGACCAGAAAATGAAAATAGAATTAATAAATAAAATATAAACAAAGGGAATATCTGGAAATGAAAAATTTAGGAATTTGAATAGGAACTACAGGAGAAAGCTTCACCAACAGTATACAAGAGCATGAAGAGATAGTCTCAGACATTGAAGATACAATAAAAGAAATGGATACATCCGTCAAAGAAAGGATTAAGTCTAAAAAACTCCTGGCACAAAATATCTAGGAAATCTGGGGCACCATGAAAAGACCATACTTAAGAATAAAAGGAATAGAGGATACAAAGAATCCTAGCTCAAAAGCCCAGAAAATATTTTCAACAAAATCATACAAGTAATTTCCCTAACCTAAAGGAGGACATGCCTATAAAAGTATAAGGAGCATACAGAATGCCAAATAGATTATACCAGAAAAGAAAGTCCCCTTGCCACATAGTAATCAAAACATTAAACATACAGAAGAAAGAATACTAAAAATGGCAAGGGAAAAAGACCAAGTAACATATAAAGGCAGACCTATTAGAATTACACCTGACTTCTTAGTGGAGATTCTAAAAGCCAGAAGGGCCTGCACTTATGGCTGCAGACTCTAAAAGAGTACAGATGTCCGTCCAGGTTACTACTTAGCAAAACTTTCAACCAACAAAGATGGAGAAAATAAAATATTCCATGATGAAGCCAAATTTAAACACTATCTTTCTACAAATCTACCCCAACAGAAGGTGCTAGAAGGAAAACTCCAACCCAAGGAGGCTAACTGCATCCATGAAAACATAGGCGATACATAATCTCATCTCACACCAGCAAAATCAAAAGAAGGGAAACACACACAGACACAGACACAGACACAGACACAGACACAGACATACATACACTCACATGTACACCACCACCGTCTCTCAAAATCAGTGGTCTCAATTCCCTAATAAAAAGACAAAGAAGCACAGAATAGTTGTGAAAATAGTATCCATCCTTTTGTTGCATCCAAGAAACATACCTCAACTTCAAGGATAAACATAACCTCAGGGTAAAGGGCTAGAAAAAAATATTCCAAGTGAATGGACCTAAGAATCAAGCTGGTTTAGCCATTCAGTGTATGACAAAATAAACATCACAACAAAACTAATCAAAAGAGATAGTAGAAGACATTACATTCCCATCAAAAGAAAAGTCCACCAAGATGACCTTTCAATTCTTAACATCTATGTCCTAAAAACAAGGGACCTAAGTTTAAAAAAGAAACATTACTACAGCTTAAACAATTTATTGACCCTCACACACTCATAGTGGAAGACTCACCAATGGATAGGTCATCCAGAAAAACAAACAAACAAAAAAACTAAACAGAAAAAATGCTAAACCTAACATATTATAAACCAATTGGACATTACAGGTGATATTTACAGACTATTTCACTCAAACACTAAAGAATATACCTTTTTCTCTGCATCTCATGGAGTTTTCTCCAAAGTTGATCACATTTGGATACAAAGCAAGTCTCAACAGATACAAGAAAATAGAAATAAATCCCTGTATCCTATCAGACTACCAAGGATTAAATCTGGATATCATCAAATAACAGAAGCAACAGAGAGCTTACAAACTCATGGAAACTGACAAATCTCTATGGAATGAAAAGTGCTTCAAGACAGAAGAAATAAAGAAATTAAATATTTCTAAAATTCAATGAAAATGAATACACAGCATACTCAAACCTGTGAATTCTAATGGAAGCGGTGCTAAGAGGAAAGGTCATAGCACTGAGTGCCTATGTTAATAAAACAAAACAAAACAAAAAACTGATGTTGGCATAAAAACATATATGTTGATCAATTAAATTGGACTGAAGACCCAGACATAAATCCACACACCTACAGACATCTGAATTTTTATAAAGAAGCCAGAAAAACACAATGGAAAAAAGAAAGAATCTTCAACAAATGGTGTTGGTCAAATTGTAGTCTGCATGTAGAAGAATACAAATAGATCCATACTTATCAACCTGCACAAAACTCAAGTTCAATTGGATCAAAGACATCAACATAAAATCAGATACACTGAACCTGATAGAAGAGAAGACAAAATGGGAAACAACTTTGATCTCATTGGAGGAGAAAACTTGCTGAATAGAACACTGATAGCAATTAATAAATGGGGCCTTGTGGAACTGAAAAGCTTCTGCAAGGCAAAGGATACTGCCATTCCAACAGAGCAGCAGCCTACAGAATAGGAAAAGATTTTTACCAACTCCACATCCACAGTAGAGGAGTAACATCCAAAATATATAAAGAACTCAAGGAACTAGCTATCAAAAAACAAATTCTCCAATTTTAAAATGGGGTACAGATATAAACAGAGAATTTACAACAGAGGAATCTCAATGGCTGAGAAACACAGGATTGTTCAACATCCTTAGGAAATGCAACATCAAGGAAATGCAAACAAAAACTACTTTGAGATTCCACCTTATATCTATCAGAAAGATCAATAACACAAGTACCAGATCATGCTAGAGAGGATGTTGAGCAAGGGGAATACTCCTCCATTGCTGGTAGAAGTGCAACTTTGTACAACCACTATGTAAATCAATATGGCAGTTCCTCAGAAAATTGGGAATCGATCTACCTCAGCATCCATGGGTTCCCCTTGGCCAAAAACTCAACTGAAAGCAGCTTAGTCCCACCACTGGAAACCTCACCTAGAAATGACCAATTGAGACTCTGTAACCCCCACTACTAGGAGTCCTTATTAGGATCACCTTTATAGATGCCAGGGAATTTCCAGTGCATTAGCTTTCCACACCACCTCACAAATGCCCCACCCCCAATTCCTATAGTCTCTTGCAGAACTCTCTCCCTCCATCCCATTTCCCCCTCAACCTGATCCCCCTCTATGATCTCCACCCACGCCCAATCTACCTGTAAAATCCATTTTATTTCCCCCTCCCAGGTAGATCCCTGCATCGCCCCCTAGAGAACCTCCTCTTTACCTAACCTCTCTGAGTCTATAGATTGTAGCTTGGTTATCATTTGCTTAATGATTAATAGTTCCTTATAAGTGAAAACACATTTCTTCTCTATACAACTACATCTTCTATGTCTCTCTGCTCACTCAGCTACATCTCTCTTTCAACACACACACACACACACACACACACACACACACACACACACACACACACACAGTACAGCTCTTTACACAGTTCCTTCACATCCTTCCTCTCATAGCCAAACTCTGCATACATATGAGTTACATTTTCAGGGTCACAAGGCATATCTAGAGTAAACAATCAGAGACAGAGCCTAACTGATATACACATAAGGAATGCCATGGTTTCTCTCAGGCTAGGAAGGTCACATTGACTGGCTAGTGAATAGCACATGGCCAAGCACATAGCCTGAGTGGTTAGCATTCACAGACAGAGAATGACATTGAAATTCAGGACTTAACAAGAACAGTTAGTAGGCTGAAACTTAAATGGTTGGGTTATATGCAGAAAGAGAATTATTGTAGGGGGTTATGTCTACCAAAGTTGTTTCAAGTCTGACCTTGATTAAGCAATAAACACCTGGAACTTATGCTTGTATATTCTCTGCAGGGGTGGCTAGTCTGTTTTGAATTTGTTTTGAAGTCTAAAATTAGCTGTCTTTGTGACTGAGAATACTGTTACATTCCTGTGTTAGTTATAAAATATATTCTAGTATTATTTTTATTCATCATAATTATATAGTTTAAACAGAAATCATCTTCCTGACCATCCACAACTATAAGTGTGCGCAATAGATGGACTCTTTTCACAACACAAACACAAAGCAGTGGGGTGAATACACATAGC